ATCTGTAACAACCAAGCATTAACTAGTGGTTCATCAAAACATCAGAGTAACATCAGAATAACAAATAGCAATCTTCATCCTACCAATACTGTACTGCCCCACACCAGATGCAGCCTTGTCGAAGGGGTGCCCAAAACTCCACATTTTTTGCACTTTTTTCTGCCCCCTCACTCCCCAGCTGATTTTATTCATCTGTTAAAATGGTTAACGTAGCCTTCTGTGAGAGGCATCAGCCCTGGACTAATTTAGCTTCTTTAACACAGAAATCAGTCATACATAAGGATTAAAATATTTTTGCCTTTTTTCTTTTTTGAAAATTTTTGAATTTGTTCATAATATGCTAGAAAAATGTAATATACTGATTTATCTACTAAGAGCAGAGTTAAAGAGTGTAAGTAATTTCTACTTATTTGCTGAAGAAATATCCTGCTAGAAGCTAGTAACTACCCCTTTCAGGGCATTAAGTGCGTATCCAGCACAACATGCAGTCTGAGTTTAAAGCAGTTTGTGAACCACTTATATAGAAAAACTCTCCCCTTTTCTCATATTGTTGTTTGAGAAATTGAGGCACAGAGCCCTCTTACAACCAAAATGGGCAGAGAAACCATGCATTCAGTACCCAACCTTCAGTCTGCCCCTTCACACAAATGGTTCAGGACGGATTTTGCCATATTGCGTGACTTACTGCTACACATGCAGTACACATACACTGCTTTGTCCTTATGCTGTGGTGCAAAGACAATGCATTCTAAGATGTCCTCTTGCTAAGGCTCCCTATTTCTGCTTAAGATTATTACATGCTACCTGCATTGATAATAATATACATAAATGAAATAGGACTTCATAAAAGTATTCATTCTGATCAAACTTTTGGCTCATTTTAATCATTTGTTTTGCATATACAATAAGAAAGTACAGTCATGGAGTCAAAAAAAATGCAGCTGTTCTGCAGTACATGGTAGGATGGGGCAAGTAAAAGTCACTGCAGATGTGTACAAGCACATTGTTGATGAGTCCAAGTTTTTCCATGAAGAGCAGTGCCCTCTCATGGAGGTAGACACACCTACCCATAGACACACCATGCCTACTAATTCCTTGGGGGCAGTGGCGTGGCCTTGCTTTTTTACATCCTGCCTTTTTTTTTTTTTCTCCTCATTTATTTTGGGTTATTAGCTCCATTATTTCAGTGGAATAATTGGATTATAATCAGAATAATTAGGATAAATAAATCAGTAAGGAAGAATGCATAAAGCAACATATGCATCTGCATTCAGGAAAAGTGCAGTCAAAAATGTTATTTGCTGTAGAAGTGTTGAAAATGTTAAACAGTCTAAACAACAGATCCTCAGTGTTGCTTGAATGACTCCTAGAGAAGAAGCAACTTTGCACCAAATATGCACTAATAATCATGAAAACATATCAGCAGTATTGGCTTAGTATGCTAGCTATAAAAACAAACCATTAAAATGTCTGACTTGGAAGAGAAGGTGCATGTCAACTTCGTGCCTGAGTAGGACTCAACCTTCAGGCGTATCTCTGATTATAAAGCAAATAAGGGCTTACAGTACCTTTCAGCCCTTGTCTGTGTCATCTATTATGTTATAATCTCATTGCCAAAAATAGCCTTCTCAGGTGAAAACACTGATGGTATGTGTTCTTGTATAACTAATGTCTCCTAGTGAGACCAATAAATTCTTTTTTGTATCTCCAGAAACAACAACAAAAAAATCCCCTCACTTATGCTAAGCTGTTAAAGGAGCACAAAAACGCTGAAGACTTACCATTACCTCTTACACCTAAATTCTATAAAACATTTATTAGCTTGATTGCCTGCTCATCTTAAAACCTGATGATTTAATATTGCTGTCCTAATCATAGAATACTTTGGGTTGGAAAGGACCTTAAAGATCACCTGGTTCCACCCCCCTGCCATAGGCAGGGACACCTCCCACCAGAGCAGGTTGCCCAAAGGCCCATCCAGCCTGGCCGCGAACAGTTCCATGGATGGGGCATCCACAACTTCTCTGGGCAGCCTGTGCCAGGACCTCACCACCTTCAGAGTAGGGTATTTCTTCCTTACATGTAAGTCTTTCCTCTTTCAGTTTAGCCTCTTTCAATTTAAAGCCATTACCCCTTGTCTTATCACAACACCTCCTGGTAAAAAGTTCCTCCCCAGCTTTCCTGAAGACCCTCTGGTAGTGACAGTAAGTCACAGGCCTCTCTGAAAACAATTTTACTTTTCTCACAGTACAGATAAAGCTATGAGCAATGTACAATGGCTGTTTAAACAGTATTAGGCTACAGGCCATGTCCTACTCTCTCTGCCATGAGTAAGCCCGTTTCTAAATATGGATGCCACATTATTTTGTCAATAGTTATGTCCCAGTAACTGCATCAAAACCCAGTCAAATATTTGTAATACTACACTTCCATAATGATCCACTTGCTATGTATATTGTTAGAACAAAACTTTTTGTAGCAATACATAAATTGTTTAAAATTCTGTCAAACTACTACAAGTATTTCACTTGAGGGAAAAAGAAGTACTGGACTCCAAAGTAGTGGGTGCCATTTTTCCAGAAGCATTATTAATGAGGACTATTTTAGTCTTTGGTGATGGGGAATGGCAGGCTGTAGCATTTCTTAAGAACAGAAAATAACTGTACTTGCAAGAATTCAATTACTCTACATTAAAGCCTCCATGGGGTTACTGTACATCAGAAAGTCAGTAAATTATTTTTCTATAAATTAGTCTCTCAAAGTTGACTTTTTTCTTTCTATTCTGAATGCCAAACTCCTGACTGCTTCTCCACCACAGAGACTTCATATCTGGATAGCCGACATCTGTAAAAACATTTCTAATGAAAACACTACTAATACAACCCCCTGGAGAAACAAATGAAATGAGATCTAAGTATGCAGCCGCCTTTCTACAGTTCTGTCTTTAACAATAGTGGGACTAGTGCTTCCTATCCAAGCCTTGACACAGGTCACGATCATTTAGGCACAGTAGTAGCAAAATAAATAATTCTGTAAATATGTAATAACTGGTACAAATACTTCAGTAGCACTTAGAAGATGTGATAAAGGACTTCCGTCTTCAGCTGTGCATTAAGGTTTATCTCAGTGGATGGAAGGGAGAAGTATTTAAATTGCACTGAAGGGGAGCTATGGACTGAATACTTGAAAGCTCAGTGCCAGACATAACATTGCTTCTTTTCCACAACAGCAGTTTATAAAGTGTGTTAGTGTTGAAAGTGTTGGATAACCTTTAAAAAGGTATAAAAAATAGTTGAAGCTTCCCCCTAAAATACAATCTACTGGAAAGATTGTCTTGTAACTACATGTTTTAATAAACCAGCTTCAAAGCAAAACATTTTTCTTATTTCTGTAATTTTTTAGATTTTTCTTCAACGCATTTCAAGTAACAAAAAAGAGACAAATTTTCAAATAGACTAATAATTAAAAGGTAAAAAAAGGTTGGTTTTAAATAAATGATTCTCAAAGCCTTAGTTAATGTTCCACATGAAGGTTCATAAGTAGAAATGTGTAGATTTGCTGCTTTGCATTCAATTCTGCACTAAGCAATTTGAGTTAATTCTGGTAGTACAGATCAGTAACACCTGGAAGTCCACACCACTGTAACTAGTCATATAGCTACTTATAGCACCTGAGGAGGCAGGTGGGGGATCCTCTGACTTTGGATAATCATAAACACTGTTTCTAAATATCCTCATTTTCAGATGGCTTAATGATTTGTCTTTAAGAGACTGAATTTGGACAAACATGGGAAGCAATTCAGTCTTGAAGTTTCCTTATTCAGACAAAACTGAAAATTGTGTGCCTGAATAAATCAATTTGTCAACAGAACAACCCTCCTTTCCCTTGCTACCCCATTTACTAAATTTTATGGGCATTTGAGTTTACACAAAGATATTAGTAAAATTACTTATTATGAAATAATTTCATCTACTTCCCCAGTGAAATCTGGCTGCATCAAAATCAATGGTATGAATCTGCCAGAATGCCAGCATGGCCTAACTGTTGCTCATCTTCCCATCCCCCTTCTTTAATGAATATGGAAGCAAGGCTGAAATTGAAGAAAATTGAAGACAGTTTCCAGTAGGATGCTGGATAAATTAAAATACGCTTGTTATCTCATGCATCTGTTTCAAATGGTATTTATTCTTGCCATGAAGGAGATTAAAGTAAAAATTAAGAGTTGTGGTTTTTTTTTTTGATAAAAGCAGTACATAGTTGTTCCACTGAATTGTTATAATGTTTAAAATGGCTCTGTGGCAATAAAAAGCCTCAATGTAAATAATAAAAATAAAAAGATAAAAAAATAAAAAGAACTCAATGTAAAAATAAAACAGCCATACTGAGCTCCCCTCTGCTATATATATCTACTACAAATATAGATTTCTTGACTACTTTAGACTGAAGCACTTCCACTTTTTTTCCTGCAAAAGTTACATCAAAACATCAAGCCTAAAGTTAGTATTTTAGGATGAGAAAGTGTACAATACAAACAGTGAACAGAACAACTAATAGCTGTATAACCAAAAAAAATCTAAATTTAAAACTTAGAAAACTCATTCTTCTAATCCTGATCTTACTGATCTTTCAAGGGACAAAGTGGACCCAAACAGCTTTAAATAGCATGCTTATAAATATATTTTAAAAGATAAAGTGATATAATAAGTATTTTACTAAATACTCTGATTTTTATTAAGTACTCTGATTTACTAGAAAAGCTACAATTATTTATTTAAAAAAAAAACAAAAAACAAAAAACAAACAAAACAAAACTTACAGCAGCATGACTGCTGTTTTCTTTACAAGCCATGAAAAAGATTATTAGAAATTCATAAATGAAAATAACTTTGAAAATCAACTTCTCAACTTTACGGCTTCAAACACTAAAGACTGACTTATTACCTATATTAATAAACAAAGTTTTTGTTCAAATACATAGTTGAAAAAAAAAACCAAAATCATTAATAATAAAAATCTGAGTTTTATTTAATAATGTAACACCTGAAAAGTCATAGAATATCGGTTCAAAATATATCCAATTATGAAAATTGTTAGTAAACAATCTTTAAGATCTTTAAGTCTAACACACCCCCCAGTGTTTCAAGAAGAAACTGCACTTCTACCGCGAGCAAGCATTTGAAGAATGTCTTGAGCAAGTCTTTCTGTCAATACATAAACCCTCCTGATTCATTTACAATAATTGCATATGATCATGCATCATTGATAAGACAACAACAAAAAAGTAAAACTACATGTAATGGATTGTACTGGATTTATGAAGACATTACTTGTTTTACTGGTAGGATCTTTTTAAACACACTAATTTGAAAAAAATAGTGGTGTGCAAGGCAATACAAAAGCATTTCTTAAGAAGTCTGACACTGATAATCAGTAATTCCTTATAGAATCTGATATCCGAGTTAACATGGCTAGTTTAAAACTTTATAGGCCCTTAATAACAATTTATTTAGCAGGAGAGAAGCCCGTTGTAGGGAGGAAAAGAAAAAACACAAAGTCAGATGCAATGTTAAGTCTATTTTCTATATAATTCATACCATGCAAAACAGGAAGGCAATACATACACAGCCATGTCTATAGATGTTCACAGATTTTATGTAATTTTGTTTTTTGCATGGGATTTGTTATGCTTTAGATGAACAAAGATATCTAAGACTTGTTCAGTACTCAGATACATTGTACCAACAAGACAGACAAAAATCCCCATTGAAAAGACAGTGTTGTATGTTTATATAATTAACTAGATCCACATGAATGATTTTAAAAAACTGACACAGAATGAAGTTTGGAAAAAAAACAAACAGCTATTTCAACTGATTATACACATACTAACATTTCTCGTTGAATTCTGTTGTGGCATTCAACACCTCGAGGTTATCTTTTTCATACTTCAATCAAGTACTACATAAAATTTAAGTGGCAATAAGACAACATGCATTGAAATATATGTTAAGGAATCATAAAATGACCAGGTCTTGATTAAGGAAAAAATCTTCACTTAGACAAGCTTTCTTATGTAAGTGTTCAACCTTTGAGGTACTAATTCAGTGAATTTATATATCTTTTGTTTTAAGGGATGAATATAATGCATTTTTATTCCTGAACCAGGGCTTTACCTTCCTGTCTTCACCCTTACAGGCGTTATGTGCAAAACTGCTAGGACAAAGGGACTTTTATTCTGTACAATTCATACTAGTTACTTAATATTTCAATCGGTTTCATAAGGTTTGAGTTTTCTTCTCCATTTAAAACCTTGACTCTTGAAAGAGTATTAACTACAGAGCTTGCTATCTTAACTACAGTTACCAAAGCAAAGGTTGATTGCCTTGTGATTTAACAGAAAGTGACATGTCAAGTTCAAGTGATGCGTTTTGGGTCAGAATTAAGAATTCTATCAGGGAAAATAGCTAATGTAATTTTTTCCTACTATAGTTGAAGAACCCTTTTTACAAAAATTTAAATAAGTTATGACAGTATTGACCAAAAAGCTTAGAATAATTATTAAAAATATTAAAAATAAACCTAGGCACGGTGGTACAAAGAGGTAGAAAACATTTCAGAGGAAAATACACAAGATAAATATATTCACATATATGAGTATAAAAACATTAAAAACCAGCCACTCCCTGTAAAACTCACAATTATGCTTAACATCATGAATTGCAAATATTTACCTTGACTTCAAAAATAGCTAAAAATGTGCAAAATTTAAGCATGACTATACATTTTTGCAGAAGGTGGTTTAAAAATCAGTTAGTCTGTTCAAGTTTAGTCTCTTTTTAACAGCTTTTTGTACGCTTTTATCTAGTGGTATTCCTTTTTGCAATAGCTTCTCTGATTTGACGATCAAGTTCACTTACAATATGGTCTTCATGATTATAGACGCCTGTTCTCAACAAGGTATCCCTCTCTTCTATCAGACGAGAGAGATAATCATCCATGTTCTCATTTAATTTTCTAGAATGAGGACTATCCACTCTACCAGCAGAATTATCTCTAACGTCTTGCAATTGCTTTCTCTCTTCTTCTTGTTGCTTTAGCCTGGCATTAATAAAATGGAAGGTAAGAGCATGACTGTTAAAAACTGCTTTGATTTTCAGATGAAATAATACATTAATTGAAGTAGTTAGTAAAATAAAGAAATCAGTAACAAATAAACTCTCTGTAGTAAAATTAAGGGAAAACTATAAATGAAAGGCAACATAATAGCTACAATTTGACAACTTTTTTTTTTTTTTAAATCTGCATACATAATATATAGTAATTGCTACCAAAGCTCATATTTTGATAATGCAAATACCACTCAAGCTACGAGGCTTCAGTGTACAGAATCACTGCAGACAGCCATTGGACACTACACAGACTTGGAATTTTAATGTATTCAAAATATTGATAGTTTTTTTTTTTTTTTTTTTTTTTAAACTCCCTTAAAATGCCTAGAACTGAAGATCCAAAAGAGAAAGAACAAAAGATGCCTAGTGTCATACACCTATGTTAGCTTAAAAAACAATGCGGCCTTACACATAGATTTTCTATAATACAGTACAGCTGAATTTTATAGATGTGCCATCTTTACCTAAGGGACACTAAAATGTGTTCTTTTACTAGGCTGATAGCCAATTATAGTCTTGATTTAACTGAACCTTCTCTTATTCTGAGGCAGGAAGGGAGTCTTACAAGTGTTTTAATACCTGTTAAGTTCATTTCTGATATCTTCCAGCTCTTGTCGGTCTGTTTTCCCCAGCTCTTTTTCTTCTGCTGCCAAATAGCGCAACCTCATGTGCTCCAGCTCTTGTTGCTGCTTTTTAAGGCGAGCCATTGCACTTTCTTGTTCACGCTTATGGGTGAAAGGATAAAAACGTAAACTTGGTTGACACATCAAAGTGCTAATTATAGTGATACAAGCAAAACCTCAGGAATGAAATCACAACAGTTAGGTCTCTAGTAGCAGTAGAAAGATGTTAAACAGGATGTCTTTAGCTGTGATAGTCACTGGGCTTGCAGCATTACATTAAAAACTGCAGTAAACCTATCCATGCTGGAGCAGCTGTGGCCCAGTCACAGATACCTTTCCATTAGTGAAAGAACATAGAGGGACAAACCTTTACAAATATTCGGTTAAGCTTGTTCACCTAAAACTTATTTGTGAAATTGCTGAAGATACTATATAGCAAAAAAGTCTCAGTATTACAAGTTACATTTTTTTTTTTATAACTTAGTAATATGATTTATATAGATTATACCATGTATGACAAAATGGTAAGTAGCTGCATAAAATCCCAATATTGGCCCCCATAAGGCCTAGTATCAAAGCTTCAAGACTTGCTGAAGTTGCAATTCATGTGAAAGATTAAGCCTTGAACTCCTAAAATTCTAGTGAGATTTCCTTTTAGAGTTTTCCAGCTCTATGCAATGCCTTAGGTAACTTATTCAGGGGATTTAATCCAACTAACCCTTCTAAAGGTTCTTAGTTACTTGGTTCTAAGTTTACCTTTTGTTTTAGTGCCTTGTATAGAGCCACAAAACTAGAATTGTAGCCCACTTCCACTCTGACATTGAAGTGTCTGAATGACAAGCATGTTCCTTTCTCTGCTTGTTTTCCTCCCAGTCATTTTCCGTATGACCTCCTGTGCTAACTCAACAAAATCAGTCTTACACTCAATGAAACAGAAAGCCTGAGGGAAAGTGGCATTTGTTCTTGTAGTTAAAAAAACAAAGTAGGAGGTTACACAAACATCCTGGATGTAGACATACTGTGAAGTGTGAGCTTACCTTTGTAATTTTGACATCACTTTCATCTGAAATATTTGATTGTTAATACAATGTTTTATATTTATTACAGCAGTAAAAAAACACAACTGTTTTATATGTGTGAATATATTCATTATACAGCCAACCTAATAATTTCTGGAGGAATCCAATCCTTGATTTCAACCAAGCAGTTTTCTGAATCTCAGTCCCAAGCATATTAAGCACTCCCTTGTTATCATTAAGTAATAAAATTCAAATTTCACAAGGAGTTGATATAAACAAAAGCTCTAATTGGTCATTGTTCATGTGAGCAGCCAATGTGATACAGAAGCACTTGTACAAGATTACATGCAATCATAGCACCCAACTACAAAATATTTTAATAGCAAATCCAGTATACCATTCAGCAAATTAAATGCTACTACTTTAGTGAGACAGACCAAAATGACTGCAGAACAATTTGCTAAGGGGATACATAATAATAAAACCAGAAGCAGGAATCCTGCCAAGAATCTACAGCTGATAGATGGCTAAAGTATAAAAAAAAATGCACTTGGAAAAGATAAGACCATTGTCCTTCCTCCCTCATCAAGAGTTCATTACAAAAGAACATTATTTACAAAAGAACATTACCATGTGAGAAGCATTTTTTTTCTGTGGTACAGGTTTGAAGAGCAGGCTCAGATTAAAGTAAAATAGGTTTAAGTAAAATAGGTTTTAGAATACGAACCAACAAATATGTAAAGCAAATTGTAAGAAATCACTATAGCCAACTGATATTTATTCAAGAGTTCTAAGGAAATCCAAACAAAGTTTAAGGGAAACTGGAGGTGTAATCCATTACTAGAACTGGTGTTGACACCCCAAGAACAACTACCCTCCATCACCCCCAACACCCTTCCCCCCCCCTTTTTTTTTTTTTAATAGAATGGAATAAAACTACTCCTTCCTCCTGCTCTGAGGCATTTGGACTAATGGCAATCTACCAGTAAGACTTATTTCCACAGTGAATAAATTGGTTTATGAAGAAATTGGTTGAAACTGCAACTAAAACAAAACTAGCAGGATGCACGGATATAGTAGAAAAAATGAATCCGGTTTTCGTAGAAAAGTCACGCTTCCACTTCTCTTAAGACACAAAAACAAAATAACAACAAGCAACCCACAAAACTGATCTGTCACCAAGCAAGTCCTCTCACTCTCTCAGATCACTCAGGTTAAGTAAGACCAGGACTTGATCATTTCCACAGCAGGTAGAAGGTGGCAGTGGAATGCACAAGAACCTGATCTTCGATATACTTGGTGATATGGCCACCTCGTTTACAGGTTATTCTCTGGTTTCCAAATATCTGGATAGGCAACAGATTCCAGGCAATAAAGCTAAATTTCAAGTATACAGTGGGCTAACAGTGATATAAATGCTAAATGCCAGCAGAAAATTAAATGCTGATTGTTATGTATGCTCAAATAGGTTGTACTGCAACTTCAGTTTTTATAACAACTAATTTACAGAATATAGACAGCATATCTGATTAGCCTGATTGTGTGATGCATAGAAATATGAGAACAGATCAATATTTACTTGAATACCATCGCTGTTCTTGGTGCTTTCACTAGTTCCAAGTTCAAGTGTAATCCTTCTCAAAATGGAACAAATTAACATATAGCCAGCCCCATTTCAGAAAAAAAGTGTTCAGATTATATTTTCAGTTTTGTGCTTTCCTTTAGGGATTAGAATACATTAAAACTCTACATTGTTTTATTTAAAATTCTACTCAAAATTATATTTAATCTCAGGAGAAGAATTGTTGCACTGTACATGTAGATTAAGCCTAGAAATTTCTATTTGTCTGTCTCTATAGGTAAAGAATCTAGTAACTTGGTCTGCTGACCAGCTACTTTTCTTGATTGGACAGTAAGCCTGAAGAAACTTGTTCTATATAATCCTGTTGTAAAAGCAGTATAGACTGCATAAACAAAATTCAAATGCAGAAGACAACTGCGTTGGCCTGAGAATAGAAATTTCCTTACAAATTGATACTTTACTATCTTGAGGCAGAAAATGTCAATGATCCAGGCCTTTATATTGTTCAGCAACATGTTCTTGGTGGCAGACCGATAGCAAAGTGTTTTAAACTCTGAAAGAAGTACATTCTCTGAAGACTAACAGAAAGTCCTAAACTCATTCAGGCATATGACAGAAAATTCCCAATCCTTTGACTGAGCAGAAGGAATCCCATTTGGTGTTTTCTTCCTTTCTGCCCTCACTGAACTACCTAGTTTCAGAACAGTAAGTTTTTTGATGAAAAAACATACTTAGTGATATTTAGGAACACCAAAAAAGGGGAAAATTAAAGAATATGAAAGCCCCAAAGATGCAAGAACAAAAACTGTTCCTGAAGAAACTTTTGTTCAGTTTGTGTTTCTTTTCATGCTTGGAAAAGTGTTCAAGAAAATAAAAATCAATGTTCCTAGTGAGCATGTTCATTGCTCAAGATATTCCTAGATTTGGAGGGACGTAAGGGTGAATAAAGAGTGCCACATTTCCTACTTTATGGAGAAAAGGAGAAAACTCTTATCAGTGTATTTTGCCTCCAAAGACAACACTGCATAAGACTTCCTCTCAGAAAAGTGCAGTTTGAAGTTCAATGTGGTTACTAATACAATTATGATATAGATATGACAAATATTCCATGTAATTTCCTTGTTCGGGAGTGATGAGATAAACTATGAGATTAATTTTAGCCCTGTAACAGTGAAAAACAAAAATTTCTGTAGCATTTTAAGAGGTACAGATTACCCTGAATAATATGACCTTTAACTAGAAAATACTACTTTATTAAAAAAGTGTTTTCTGAGGCAAGATTTCCCTAGCACTTAGCATAAGACTAGAAACTCAGAAAAATACATGAAAGCAAGTGACAAGAGATTTTGCAGTTTCATTTATGATGGATCCTGTGTGTAATGTGAATGCTACACACTTCATATTGTAAGGCTTTGAAATGTATTTCCCAAAATTCATCTTTAACTCCTTTAAGTCTGACAGAAGTTGTAGAGTGAGTAACAGCAAACTTGTTTTTTTGTATGATGCTTAGAACAGCAATAGAAACTTATTTCTTAATAATCCATCAATACAGGAAGATTGCAAAAAACTTAGAACACTTGTTTGATAAAAAGTGAAGTATGCTTATTTTGAATTCATTTGCTTTATTCTGATATGTTCAGAGACAGATAAGACTTGTTACAATGGGATTAAAAAAGAAGTATTTCTTATTCATCACAGAGGTGACCGGTACTACTTTATAAGAGACACTCAGGCTCTAAAATCCCCTTTTTTCCCCAATCACAATTTAATGATGCATAAGCACTGCTTATTTTTAAACCAGAGAAGGAACTCTACTTCACAGTAGTACTTAAAATTTACCAGAATTTACTGTGCAATCTTTGAAAGGAAATAATAAAACAATAGTAACGTGAAGTCCAGCATTTCTAGCCTCATGTGTAACATTTTCATTCTATTCTGTGTATGCTGAAGTTTAATGACAAGGATATAATTGAATACAAAATATCCTTAATTGTTTCTCAGGGCACATAAGCGTATACATACACACACAATTCACGCTGGCTTTTTGTGATAGGTCTTATTATTTCGCAGAGAATATGCTCCTACAATATATCCTCCAATAAGGTACATTTTAGATTTATTCCCAACTTCTTACTGTACCCCTGTCAAACTGTTTGAAGCCTGAATAAGAACCCCTAGATTTTTAAACAACTTCTAGAAACTTGAAGATTGCTTTTTAAGACTTCAGGTAAGGGTCCACTCCAGAATTATTAGCTGCTGGACTAAAAGCAGCTATGTGGATAGAATGTAAGACCCACTAGAAACTCTGAACAGTCTGTTCTTGCATTACCTCCTTACTATCAACACCCACCATCCCACAGCAAGGCAATAACAGATGATCAAGAAGAGTATCTGCAAATTACTTTTAATTTTTACCATCTGGATATTATTATTGTAATACACCTAGTCGGCACAGGTACCTTTTCCTCCATTACCTTCTCAGCACTGTCAGTCATGCTATCCCCTTCTGCTTTTTTTTTTTTTAAAAAAAAAAAAAAAGAGGGGGAAAAAGGAAACTTTTCCATATTCCTTTTCCTTATTAATTTGATGTTTTGCCATCTTTCTCTTACATACCCCAAAAAAAGCCAAGCCAAACAATACCTTTAAGCCCCATGCTAGTTATCAGATTATTTAATTCTATATCTTACTGCCTTCTTTCATTGGTTTGCATCTCTAATGTAGTACTTGAGAGCAAGAATGTTGTTTTAGGAGTTTGCATGGTGGGACCTTCAATCATGTTTTGAAGCCTATGGTACTAGAGAAATAATCAGCATTAAATAAAAATTAGCCACTATTAAGAAAACAAAAATTTCAATTACAATCAGATTGTAAAAGAACCCCTCTGTGCCGCCAGGTGCTCTAGTTAAGAGGCTCTTCAATCAAGGAAGCACAATCTTTATTTTGCCATAGCTGCCTATAAATCCAAAAGGGAGATGTAAACATACATACACTAGACTAAACAATGGCTAAATAGCGGCCACTATTCACTCTCCCACTCACACATACCATGCAAGTCTGTGGGAAAACTTACGATTGAAGCTAAGGAACTCAAGTAAAGTTTTCTGAAAATAACCCAGAGCTGACAAGTCAGTAGGAGGGCCTGGATGGTTTCAAGACACAGTTTTTAACCAAGACTTGGACCTCCAACTGTTTTTTTTCTTTTTTTTTTTTTTTTTTTTTTTTTTTTTTATAAAAAAGTCAAAGATTTATAACCCATCTTTGGCTAAATTACTTATAAATTAATCAAATTAATTACTGAGTGGATAAGCAGGAGGCCGGACAAGATAGAGTAAATGTCAACCAGCCAGTAAGATGTATGTTGTTTTAAATAAATGCATCAGTGTTAGTTTGAGCAGATCTGTAGGATACAAAAACAATAAAGACTTCATTAAAAAATATTTCTCCCAGAACACTGAATGATGTATGTATGTGCACTTTGAGATTAGCTTGGTTTTCTAGATTATCAGACTATCATCTGCTGAAAATGAAATTCCTGCTAGCTTTGGTATTTGTTTTAAAATACAGTTTCTTGCACTCCATTTAGTACCTGAGATATCCACAACATCGTGTGAGTGGTTTGATTATTTTCAGTAATAATGCTCACATATACAACTACACACGTCTTGTTTGTGTAGGTTCAGACTTTCCTTGGCAGTAAGCTTTAGAAGTCAGCTTTTGAAACCCCTGGAAATAACAAAACCTACCAGGATAGGCACAGCTATGTAGATAACAAAGTTTTTGTCTTCCTAAAGGTGAATAGGGATATAAGTGAAGTACTTATATATAGTTGCAAAAAGTAAGAGGGACTAAACAAGACTTCACCAGAATGTAACCCAGCTTACTATTTTCACTCAGCTTTACAAACTGTGTTTAAATTCAATTAACTTCTGTGCTTTGTTAGTCACAGGTGATATATATGTGCCCTCATTTGCTCAGATCTTCTTTTGTTTTCACCAGCACTGTGTTTTTAAACATTCAAATTACTAGACATGGAGAATTCAGAGCATGTTCTATTAACAGTCCCATAATTTTCTAAGTTATGTAGTGCATATCTCATTCTGTAAAATATAAAGCCATCACAGATGTGTGCTAACAACTAGTCCCAAAGTAAAAGGAAACTTTTTAATTAAGGAAACATTGACTTTTATGGTTGCAAATCAGAAGAGCATTTTACTAAATGCTTAGCCTGTAGATTATGCTTCTTTAATTCACAAATTGACTGTACTAGGTCACCTTTGAGTAATGGAAATCTCTGTTTAAACATTTTTTTGGCAATGGGCACAAAGCATTAGATCTCATTTCCAAGACTTACCAGCTGGGTTTTGTCATTAACATTTATTAACAATCTAAGATATGGCTTTCAGCGTCTAATCCTCACTACACAAATGTTTTGTATAGTTCTCTAGAGAGCTTTGGTGTGACAAATTACTGGCACAGATTACAGCCCTGTGGCTATTCACCAGAGGCAACGCAAAATTAACATGGTACTAATCCAATTTAAACAAGAAATTGGTCAAACTATGTGCAATTGCACAAATCATCTGAACTAAAGCAGATCTAGAATTCCTGAAGCAACACTTTCCAAATTTATATTTAAAACACAGTAAATGTTTTTTGATCAGATCTGCTTTAACTTTTATTTGGCTTTTTAAAGTCACTTAAATCCTTTATCAATAGACTAAGTATAAGATGAAACACGGGAGTATAAAAACACAAGAAACCACTTTTAAAGGGTTTGTTCTGTCATATAAAAGTCTTAAGTAGCATAATTCACTGTATATGCCAACTTATTTTATAGTTCAGACTTTCATCAAGGGGGGTCAGCTGAAACCATCTACATATGTTATTAAATTCAGATCATCAGGTCTACTGTGATGAAATTCATAATAAGAATTTGATGATGATATACTCTGTGTTAATCTGGCAACTAACAATATTTTCCTTTATTCTACAGGGAAGTTTTAAATTTGGCACTAAGAAAAAATAGCTAGGATATTTCATGGCTGCTGAAGAAATCTTCATCAGAAAGATGAAATTTATGAGATTTATGTTCTTCCTTCTATCATATTTGCCAAGCACAGCATGTCAGAAATCAGAGAGGAAAAATTCTCTTTTTATCAGTAGGCAAAAAGGAAATTTGAAGACAGATAACGTTTAGTTTTTAATAGTGATTGAAAACAGCTAACATACTGAGTAAAGAGGATTAAAAAAGTAACAATCAATTAGAAAATGGAGGGTTTAGTTTTTACTTTCCAGAAATAAAAAAACAACAGGAATGAAGCCTGCTTAACTATAATCCTTAAGAAGTACCTTCCTACTTCACAAGAAGTGTGAAGATAAGTAATAAATACCTTTTACTAAAATTATGAAGGTCTAGGTCTGTGTCAGTGTTTGTTCACCAACCTGGATTAGTGATTTATTAATTTGTCACTGACAATCAAAATGCTTGCCACTCTTACATATACTGCTTAGTTAAAGTTTACTGCAATAAGTGAAAGATGCAATGACAAAAGTCAAAGTCATTCAATGCATTCAGTACATTCACTGCATTGGTTTCAGGGATTAGGATTTCCGATGCCATGAGCAAAAAGTTTCATTTTAAATTTCACATTTCTTCTGCAAATTTACTTCATGTTTAAGCATTCAGCAAGTCTTAAGCCATTGTTTCAATTTTTGGTTTTAATCTCTACTCTTTATTCATTTTACAATTAAAAAACAGTTAGGAATGTTACTGACCAAGATAGTCAGGACGGTCAAAGCACGTTCTCTGAAAGTGCTGACTGAGCTTTACCAGGAATTAGATTAATTAACGTTTCTTTTTTGAGCCACACCTGCTTTCAGCTAAACCAGCTTTCTTTGTTGACCTGAGCTGTATTCTTCCCTGAATTTAAAGGAAAACTCTATTCTACTATTCAGCTATTCTACTGACTTCTGCAAAAATCTGAGCTTGAATTTTACAGACAAACAAAACGCTAAAACAATGAAACAGCCAGTAATTAACAGTAACCGTAGATAGCTTCCAACACTGCATGAACTTGGTTGTCTCATATGATGAAAGAAAAAAACATGTATACCTGTTTTAACCTTGCAAGTTCTTTCAATGCTCTTGCCCACTGTTGTTTGTAGTGGAGCTTTGACTTGGTAGCTGACTCCAACTTTCTTTCAAGTTCAACCTAAAAGCAATTAAAACCATATCAGCTGAAGCAATAACAGCAGTAACAATCACTGAAAGATGTATATATACAAAGGGTCTGGTTTAAGAAAAGTGTTTATGTAGTGTAACATACAACATCATCTAAAGCTGTTATATAATGTAACATAAATATTATGGCACATGAACATTTTCTTGTTTAAAATATAGCTTTATTTTTATTGGATAGCTGTCTATACAAAAGGAAAAGATTAGTTATTAGCACTAAATCTACTGATGTAACCTTTTAAATTTAAGTTTCTCAAATTAGTAACCTCCCCTCTCCACCCCCTCCCCCCCCCCCCCCCCCATGCTCTCTTTTTTAAATAAGATTATAAACTCTAATTTAGCAGGAATGCTGATAGACAAATCTTGCACAAATCTTGCCTTTAAAAGGTGTACAATTTTTTTTTTTCCCCTTTTCTGGAGCTGATGGAAGATGTTACATTCTTTCCTCTGAAATACACCTCTGTTCTAACCATTCTTTAAAATATATGTATACATTTTGGGTATCTCTGTTTTTACAGTCTAAACAATGAATCTTAAGAACATGTTATGCAATTTACCAAAAATAATTCATTGCATTGTGCAAAAAATATTCCAGTACTAAAAGGCATATGAAAATAGGTGTGAAGTACACAACATGGTTACCTGAAAAAATGAAGCATTTCAATCAACAAAAAATCTGAGACAGTTATTTTTTAAAATCGGACAAGAACTATTTAGCACTAGATTTGTGAAGATTTTTTTTAAGTTAAAAATAAGCCTAACAATATTTTAGTTAGGAATTTAAAAAGTCTGTACAGGCAAATATTTTGAATTACCTGCTTGCATTATTAAAAGCTATTTAACTATACAGTAATATCCAGACTAGCTATACACTACATAACTGAGTGCACTTTGTGCAAAAAAAGCATGGTATAATTTTTTCAGAATATCTATTTTAGTCAGACCTTTCAGTAATTCTGGGCATAATTAAAACCACAGATAATGAGCATCTGAAGTAGAATATCCTCTACTGAAGGCATGTGCAGCATATGAAGAAATCAACTTGTGATGGTAATTCCATTCTACTGATAAGTAATCAACCTCTTTTCAGGAATACTTAAAAAGCAACACACAGTCTCAATCAACCCTCACAAGAAACTCTTCTTAAACTTTATGAACAAAAAGCTTAGAGTCCCAAGTACAAATCATGGCACTAATAATGCATTTGACCTATTTATGGTCAGTTTTTCCTGCCTTAGCCTCGCCACAGCTTCCTCTACAGAAATAAGGCCACTGTTGGCCTTCATTGTGTGTGAGTATTTAGTTTGGAGACATTGTTGGAAAAAGTAAAACAAAATGGACAAGATAGCCAGGTTCATGCAAGATTATTCTACATCTCCCTCACCAAGGAATTGTGAGGGTTTTTAATGACTAATAAGATACCTTTTCTAAAGTGAGGAGATTTATTTCCGACTGTAGCTGGATTTCTGGTTTACTACTTTGCTGTTCTTTGTATTGCTGGAACTCCTTCTCCAAAATTTTATGCTTATTTTCTGCTTCATAAAGCTACATTAAAACAGATACATTAAAATAGATATAAAACAGATATTGAGAGTTACACATTCATAATTAATAATTTCTTGATGATGTCATACAGCAATGTTTTAATAAGGAAAAGTTTAAAGATGATCTTTGCTTGTACTGGAAAAGAAGAAAAGCAGTCTCTCCTCATACAAAGCAGAAAGATTTATAAACACTTCTGTTCACATTTCTAAAATGGACTTGCAAAAGAAATACAGAAAACAAAACTATTTAGACTTACACACAACTTTTAAAGAATGCCAGTGTTATCTGCTGTATTAAGTTTTATTACTGACACACTTCCACAGGCATAACTTGTTTAGGAATGTCTGGGAGAGGAAATACCTAATACTTTATACAGCCAAATAGTAATTTAAAAGGCTGAAACAAAGACTTCTGTAACTAATGACTCAACACATGTACCTTTGTCCTCACTATCTCCAGAGTTTCACAAAGATACCATAATAGAGCTTTGATTTTCATCTTAAAACTGGTAATTTGAAAGATGTACATGTATGATTGTATTACTATCTATGATTGTATTACTTTGCTACAAAAAATAATTTAAGTTAAACACTTAATAGATACTTTTTTCATTATACAGTATTAATAACCTTGAGAAAACATCTAATAAGAGAGTTTTAATGAAAGAATAATATAACAGCAGAAGAATAAAGGTTACTCAATTAGAAAGCCCTTAATACACCTGACATAAGTGATGCTTTCCTCTACAGAATTGATGATAACAACTGCAACTTGTTTCATCTTTAACTAGTTAATACAAACGTTTCCTTAAGTGTATCTAAGTTTAGAATAGTGGGTGAAAATGCTTCAGAAAATTTCTTTGTTTAAAAGCTTTCTTTTATTAGTACAATGTTTTAGTTCTGATCTCCTAATTGAGTCACCTCAATAATTCTTCCACAAGAAATTTCTGCATTTTCTATAGAATTCTAATAAATTTCTACAGAATTTATTTTTATAGAACTGATGTAAGAATGGAAAGATGCCTTATAAGAAAACCATACGAAAACATAGTTCGCTGCAGTTATTTTTCCACAGAAAGAGATGATAGACTACTTTGACAGATATAGTATTGCTTCTTGACAATACTTTTACCAATTTCTTTTTAAAACATAGGCATATGGCTATGATGTCAATGATAAGAACAGCAGCCAGTTTTGTTAGCTGTGAAGAATGCAAGCTATCCCTAGAACATTAATGTTTAATTAGTTTGTTTCTGAAAATGCTTTAAAATAATGGAATTTCTCATGAGACTTCAGACTACAAACTGTTAAGCTAGTGCACAAATCATACAAAAGCACAACTTGTCTATTCAGAGAATAAAAGTGATATTCTTCAAAATGCATGGTTCAGAAACTAATCTCTTGTAGGGCTCATCTTCAAACAAGTTACACATTTAGAAACCTCTATAGATCTTCATATGTGAAAATCGTGTAAATACACATAGCTTTCAAACTAAAGGGTAAGGGATGAATTAGAGTATATGCCTTAGAATTCTTCCACTTTACTCCAGAATATTCTTTGTTAAAAGACAAAACAAACAACCATAATCTAAAAGGTAGGATAATAACACAGTCAGAGCTGGTAGCAATACAAAAATTCTGCCTGTGTACATTAAAAACTGAGTTATCCCACAGTGAAGGACAAACCATCCTAACTCCTCAACAAAACAAGGGGGTTTGATGTCTCATGTAGACTAAGTGGAACAACTACATCTCATACTGAAGCACAAAGGGAGATGCAAAATAGTAGGAATGGCACAAAAAGGGAACCAGGACGATCAGCTAGAGAGCATAACTTTACGACAAGGGAAGACAAGACACAAAGATGCTCATATTTGGAAAATGAGTATGACAGACTTATGAAATCATGAATACCATGTAACAGGCACTTAATATAGCAGGCACTTAAGGATTACTCATTCATATTAAGCAAGAAGCTTTAAATGAACATGGGATTATGTGGGTTTTTTTTTTGTTTGTTTTTTTTTTTTTAAATAGCACAGAACTGCAGAACTCACTGACACAGGATGTTGCAATTCTAAAAGCAAAACTTTTTTAAACAGGGATCAGATGAGTTAACGAATACTTTCACTGATGGCTAGTAAATATGAAATGCAGCCTCTCAGTCAGACTATATGTAACTCAATGGTAACCCTAGTTGTAGAAAGACTGTATTTTCTACTTGTCCTTCTTATTTTTTACACCTCAAAATCCAGCTATTGCTGCAACAAACTGTTGGTCTGATACAGTATTTCTGTTTTTAAAAACACCAAAGCAGGTACCTCCCATACATAAACTAAGTCCTTAAGTAAGAAAAATACTTAATTTAAGTATATTAGATCTTAGTAATAGTTAAGTTTCTAAATATTGTAACTGCTTCAGAAAAGGCTGGTAGTAACTTGAAGTTTCATAGAATTCTTTAACAGCCAACAAAAAAAAATAATTAAGCAAGTCTTGCCATTAGTGCAAAAGATAGCATACAGGACAACAGAACATAGCATAAGTTTTCCCAGTTTAATTAAAGTTCCATTATCAAAACAGAAGAACATAACATCAAGATAATTTCCCCACCCCCCAAAGATGGCAAAGTAATTTTTTTTTGCAATGGAATCATAAAACAAACTTCAAAGTCAAGCTTCCTAGATATTCTCGTATATGTTAATTGTTAACAATTTATTAAAAAGTTACTGAATTGTACATTGCAGTTCTACAAACATATGCTTGTAACCACAGTTTGATCTTCAGCATTTACAAAATGAAATTATAACCACTGCATTGCCAACTGGCCCTATTATGAAGCAAGATTGACAGAGGTGGATCCAGCATGTAGCTCACTGAACAACTGGAGATAAAATATTTTCCAAGTTGCCTCAATATCATTGCTCAACTTAACATCCTTACTTAAAATAATAAAAAACTTAAATGATAGAGACTAAACATTTAAATATACATACCTGCTGCTGTAGGCGAAGCTTGTCTTCTTCCATCTGTTTGATTTTTGACCTTTCTAGCTCAATTTGGTGAGCACATTCTTCTCTGGCACGTCGCACAGAATCCTGTAACTCCTGCTTATTTCGTTCATGCTCTGCTTGCAACTCCTTCTTTACTCTTTGAAGCTTAAGAATGAGACAGCTACATCAATTCATACATTCAGAATCTTTATTTTAAGAGTCTCTTAAAGCTGTTACTATTCATTCATGACAAAAGTTATATATTTTAGAAATTAAGCAGTAGAAATTGCATTGTTACCTACACATTTGATATACCCCCTTTTGTTGGCTTTCAGATTAACTAATCATCTTCAAATTCATATATTTGGCCTACAAGTATATTGTTACTTGACTACTAAAAACAGGGATATCTTTATCTCTAATTACTTTCTAAACCACATTACAAACAGAATTTAGTTTCCTACTAAAATTAAAAATTAAAATCTCTTCACTACAGAAAACATTAAATTACTCCTACAGCCAAGAAAATGTATTTTGTTCAGTAGGATCTCACTCTTCAAAATGAGTACAGTGAAAGGATTTCATATCAAGCTTAACAGGAAAACCATCCTTGACATGTTTGAACTTTTCAGGAAGATGTTACTAGCCCACTTACTATCTGCATACTAGCCTACTTACTCCTCCACATTGACCATTTTATCCCCTCAAAATGTAATCATGAACTCTCTATCATTTTGTCTAGATGCCTGTGGAATCCACAGATTTTTGTTATCTCTAAACCCTCAAATCAGAATCTCACTACATTTAGAAAAAGTTTTGAGACAAGCATTTATGAGAATCAAATACTTTTATTCCAACTGAAATGCATCCAAATTTAATTACTAGATTTTGTGTGTTGAAATTATAGGTAAAGTCAGACAATCTATAGCACAAGCTACATCCTGAGGACAATAAAGAGCTTCTGAGTAAAGAACTGGAAACATGTTCAGCCTGCCAGTGCCTCTGCTGGGAATTGTAGCTTTGTTCTCAAGCAAAGGAGGGATTCCTATGATAGATAGGCTGAGCTGAACCACAGGAAAAAAAAAAAAAAAAAAAAAAGTTCACTGGACTGCTAAGTCACCACAACAGTCTACCTATGTAGTTGTGAGACTGTTCTGAAGTTTCTGAAGTAGGTAAACAGGAAGTTTCTTTTCTCTCTCTTTCCATATGCTTTCCATATATAGCTTGCCTGAGGACTCATCTTGCTCCCTAGATGTGGGGTGTTCAATGACATCCAGAAACAGTGGTAGCTACTGGTTTCTCCCTCATCTTCTTTGGTCCTGTCACTACCAAAAAATACAAAATAGCAATTCTATCGTATTGCTGGATGACAAAATTTGCACAATTGCAGTTCTTCCCAGCATTCCTTTGCACCTCCTATTTGTTGCAGTGGTAGGTCTAGCAATTACTGTTTGAAGTGAGGCACTCTTGTACACATGGAAAATGTTTACTATGATAGAATACTAAACATAATTGAGATATAATGATGTTACATAAATCTCTCCACTGACACCAATTCTGTTAAGAAACCTAAGCTTACAGTTCTGTACTTGTAACAAGTCACGCACAAGTTTGCTTAACTTCTATTTCACTGAATATGTATAGAGGTAACAAACATTTAGCTTGAAATTGTTAGTGCTTATCTGTGCATTAGTATGAATGTTGCTCTTTTAGTTCTTATACACAGGTCATAACTGCCTCCATATGAAAGAATGGATAGAAGCATCTTAATCAAAAAAGTGACCAAGCAATTTTTACCTCTGATTCAGCACTAAAAAGATGTCGCTCTCGCTTATCTAGATCCCTCAAGGTTTTCTGAAGTTGTTCTTCCAAAACAGTATATTCTGCTACCTTTAAAAAACAAACAAAAAAATGTTTTCTTGCAATAAAACATAGGCTTTAGACAGCTGAAGAATTTAAAATTGTTTGTTTGATATAAAACATGGACAACATTTGTTTCACAAGTTTACATAAAAAACAAATCTCCAGCTTTCAATCATGAAATCATGGTGGAGAGCTTTTCTTTTATTAGTGAAAATAGGTTAGTATGCTCCAATTGGACTGCTGAAGATTTTGACCATGCAATCAAGAAGCAAGCAAAGCTGAAAATCCCCTGGAGTCAGCAAGTTAACCTACAGGATTTGTAACAAATATTCTGTCTACATATCATCATAAAAAAGGTAAACAACCTAGCAATTTCTAGTTCAAAATTAAACAAATGTACCACTAGCCTTGGTATTAAAATGAAGTAAAAGACCTCTGATTTTAATTTTTGTACTGTTGTCTAAATGCATACACACCTCTAAGTCATAAGGAGGTATCACAGACCCTTGTTATAGTCAAAGAATCTTGTCAAAATTTGCAGTAATGAGGCTTATGAGACTCTTCAGCAAGCATAGAAACTAGTTTCCTTACCTTCTTCTTCACTAATGCTTCTCTCTCTCTGTCTCTTTTCTTCCATTCTTCTGCAAGTGCTTGCATATGGGCCATCTCCTTCTTTTTAAGCTTTTAATAAAAGGAAAAGAGTTCCTAAACAGAAACTCAAATCAAAATTGTTGATAGCACAGCTTTTACAGAGAGTACTAAAAAAATGAAGCCTGGAGCAGTGAAGTAAAAAAAAAGTTTTTGCAAGTTTTACACTGACTTACTGTACCTCAAATGATTTTGATACATTTGTTACTCTTAAAAACTAATTGCAAAGCCAGCATAAGTTTGAGGAAAAGTATATCAACTAATAGAAACCATATTCTCACTCTCTTAACCAAGATGAGACTGTAACATTTATAGGATAAGTGGAATGACTTAATGAGTGGAAGAACAGCAGTAGAGTGACTGAGAATAAATAAATGCATAGTTAATATTTAACAGCAATAACTTTCACATTGAATATCTACTGCATTTCATAAATCATGAAAGAATTGTGACAGTTGGGCAGTTTAGGAAGTAGGAGTAAAGACCTGATTTTCAAAGATGTCTTCTTGCATTTCCTTCCACATTTCTAACTCCAGTGCTGCTTTGTATTCAAGAGTTTCTCGAGGTTCTGGATGGTTTTCTGGGACACAAGGAGGCTGAGTATGGGGGGCATGCCGCTGCTGACCAGCACCTACACACTGACATAACAGTGGATTTTTAGTTAGAAAACCAACATTTCAAAGCGTTCAAGGAAAAATGGTAAAATTAATGCAAAATTTACTTGAGAAGAATCTGACACCAGAACTTCATGCATTTTCACAAGCCCGTAGTCTTCCAAAGTGATGGCATATGAAAGCTCTGCTATTCTGTTGCCTGACCTGAAAATTGTATCAGAACGAAAAACAGTCAAAAATACTCAAAGTGTTCTTTAAGACAAGTAAAGCAACAAAGCTGAATTGCTAAAAGGTTCTGTGTAATGTCAGGCAACTGTTGCTAAAGTCTGTGACAACACAGCCAAGCTCTCCCATATATATAGTTAACAAGTACAAATTTGTGCAACTATAATAAGCTTTTCTGACCTTAACAACTTGTAATCGAGAACCTATTTAACTAACATTTTTTCACAATTGACTCATCCCTGCAAGAACAGAATGATACAGATATTGTTCTTGTGGTCATAAATCTGTTTAATAAGTCTACCTCTTGAAAGTATTTTGCTACTGAATTCATTTTTAAGGTACTCAATTTCATTAGTACTGTATTAGTGGTGTTAGTTAACCATAACTTTCTAATGTTAGGTGACAATAAATTGTGGATAACATCATTTGTTGTAATCCATCCTTAGATTCCTAAAAAAAATAATACCATTTCCAGATGTTTCAGCACAGGCAATTTACAACCTTAAATCCACCTAGAGGGGGCCTTACAGTAAGTATGTTAAGTATCTGTCCTAGTACAGTGAGAAAGTGTCCAGATAAATATTTTAACTAATGAAGGTGTAAAGGCAGTAACACAATCCCTCAAAACCCAGAAACTGCAGTTTTTGACAAAAAAGCTTCGAGAATTCACCAGTGAAGTTTCTTTCACTGGAATTTCTTCTTCCAGTAAATATAAGTAGACAACATATTTTTACAAAGGTGCAATCATCTACGCTATCATCCTTTTTCAAGGGAAATGAGGGGCTACATTAATTTATGCAAAGTAAAAACAAATTACTGCATTGAGTTATTACAGCTTTCTATCAGTCACTAATAAAAAACAAGATAAATAATAAAGATAGCAGTAATTATTCAGAATTCTGAGGTCTGTATTTTAAGTCAGTTAACATACCCATCTAGCTTTGCTCTTGTTGATATAATATTTTTTATAGTGGTATCAGAACAGCAAAACACAGAGCCAATTACATGAATTTGAGAATGCCATCTAGTGGTTTTGTGCAAAAGCAGGTTTTATGTTAGCAAACTTATTTGTTAAAAGTGTCAACCTTAGTGTCCTCTGAGATCATAAACCAACTCTCCACTGAATCAGGCCATGCAAAAATTTAAAGAGATACAGAGATCAATTTAATACAAGTTTAGGAGGATGGAAGACAGGCTGTGTTAGTTCCCTGAAGTTTCTTGTGTGTCAAATGTTGGCATGCTTTACTTATTCATAGGATTAGAGGTTTAACGCTGACCTCAGTCTTAGAGGAATTTTTGTTTATTTTTAAAGGCATAATCAAGTCCTCACCATACAGAAGATGAGGGTCTACACACCGATTGCTAGCACAGTTCACATTTTCAACAAGGGCATAGGACAGAAGTACATAAATATGAAAAAAGAAAAGTGTTCATTTACATGAAGGATTAACATTCACACACTGATACTACTGCTTATTCTGATGTACATGAGCTGAAAACCCTGCAATTATCAGTGTATAATATTGAAAATATAAATTTCTCTATTGTCCTCCTAACTTTAATTGAAGTCAAATATGTCTAAAAACATACTAGGGATAAACACAGACTTAACTCTTTCTGGAACATCAGCAGCTATTCACAATTCTTAAGTAACTTTCTCAGTAAAGTCCCTCGTTTTATTTAATTGGGTATTTATTTCTTTGATCTGTGTGTGAAGATTACCCAAGATCATTATTATATGATATAAACCAGAGATTTACTTTAGTATCAATGCAGGATTGCACAATATATTGGTGGTAATTAAACTTTTAATGTTTTGGATGCCTACTCCCAACTCCACTGCACCACGAACATCCCTATTCACCAATACAGTTAGCACTCTTTACTAAGAATATTTCCTACACAGGTTTCAGCCATCCAATTTAAAGCACTGTCTCACAAATGTGAGCTATTAGAAGACAAACTTCAGTGCAAGGATGGGGATAAATTTGCAGGGTAAGGGAACCAATGTGAAAGTGACGGATTTGTGTTCTGTGAAACTATAGAGTGAAATGTCAAATGAGGAAAGCAATCACCATTCTGCTGGCCTCAGAGTGAAAAGCTCAGGTTAAAAAGTGCTAAGTTTAAATGATGTATTTAACTTTCAGTTATTCTCTCTGGTCCTTTAATTTGTTTCCCAAACTGTTCACTTGCCAGGCAAAAAATATAGATTTGGCTTCATCTAAAACCATGTGAGCTTACAACTGATTTCCAAAATACTTACAGACCACCAAAAACATTTTACACTTAAAAATAAATAGGATTTTCTTCAAATAACACCAGCCCACTTTGTGAGACCTCTCAATTCTGTTGATAGCCACCATTCTGTTTTAATTTCAGACTTCTCTATTTCATTTTTGGTATCTTATTCTCCAGAGCTCCTAATATGAAAACGAGCAAGTTTTCATATTCCTAAACCTATAATAAACCTATAATTCCTAAACCTTTCATAAACCTACTTTAACAGTAGGTTTAAGTATGTATGCATTGACAGAAATATTTACATGTATGTATAAGTTTCCATCAATAGTAATCCTAAGTGTATGATTTTAAGATTCAATCACCAAAACCTCTTACTTATTTTCTGCTTTTATCAAGAAAATCTAAGTGCTGCAAGTAATTGTTAAAAGGTGAAAAATTAAGAGTTATTTCTTTGTCGTCTTTTCTGCTGCAGGGCTACCAATGCAGATACATAAACAAAACACAGCCTTTATAAATAGTCTCAATTTCTTCAAATTTATGTTTACCTTTTACCTTTCAAATTTATAAATCGAGAAAGTTTGACCTTGTTCACAGAAATACTAAACAAATAGTTCTTCAAGGCTTGCTACGGAGCAAAGAACTTTTATTTAGTTATTACCCTTGTGCTGCTGTGACACTGACTGTTTCATTGAAAGTCTGACGCCAACATTGTTCACCATTACCACCCAAGAAACGGGTTTTTTCTGAAGCCAAAACATTTGAAAGCTGAAGTCTGGCAATCCCTAGAAGCATGTCTTTAGTTGTTTTATCCTTGTGCCACAACTCAACCAGCAGAGGTAATCTGAAACAAGGAAATTATTTTCACGTCAGTCACCAAAAGAAGACAAATGGAACCTCATGTTCAAAAAGGCAATTCCACTGTCAGTGCTGGTCAAAGCGTCAAAATGATACAGGCTTACTGCTTTTCAGAGGAGTGAGATTCACAAACTTTGTCTTTTTCATCACTTACTTTGCAGAAGTCATCATTCTTTCCTCCATTTATTAGCGAGAACTACATTGCAATGAAAATAATTGACTGAATAATCTTAACAGACCTAGATTCTTCGTTTATAAATACCTACATGTGAACTTCAGTCACTGTCACTCACAGAATACATCTTCTGTGCTTTTCCTTTCAAAACATCACAATTACAATGATTCTTTTAACCACATCTAAATACCCTATCAAAAGCATGTGGGACTACTGGAAAACTGTGTCAGAATTCACAACTCAACTGTACTCAGCTTTCCAGGTTTTAATATTTCCACAGATTAACTATGGATATGACTGCCATCAAGTTAAAAAAGGAAAACAGAGCCAAAAAACTTCAACTGGCATAAATATGCTTTGTTAGAAGAATTATCAAACCTTTAATTTAAAAGCTTACAACAGCAGCAAGCAATGATCCCTGCATAAATACTCAGAGATAAAACCAGGAATTTGAGTACTCGTCTTTCAAAATAAAGAAGGAATGGAAAGAGAAGTGCATTAAATATTCATGTTGATTCCTTACTAAGTTCTCAAACTCAAGATCTTAAGTAAAATACTTGAACCTGACTGTATTTACAGTGAAAGATAAAACATTCAAGCTAATTAAGATAAAAGAATGTAAGTTATCACCTGAAGAATGTATCTTGAAGCTGATGAGGTGTAGTTGCAAAGTCAAATGCACAGTAGGACTGTGGAAGAAAAACTTCCATGTTCTTCCTGATTTCTGTGGGTGGGCTTGTCATAATAGGCGCTGCACTGCCAAAAAACGGATACGAGTACCTAATAAAAGCAATAACAAAAGCAGTCAAGTAACAGTTTAATAGACATTTTCTGCATAGAATTCTGCAAAAATAAGACTAATTTAGAATCCTTTTACTGAAACACAAGTAACATAAAAGTAAAAACTGCACAAATGTACCTAATAGTAGAACTCATCTCTCGAATAATGTGTTTTTGTTTACACCAATACCCATCAAACTTCACTTACATTTGCTGTTACTTTGATAAAAAAAGCTTTCATAATCTGTATGGATGTTTATAAACTTGAACTATTCTTTTCAAATTAAAATTGTATCTCTCATTTTATAAAATTAAGGAAGAAGTATTGTGCTCATATATGGATTGTTATTTGAAAACATTTTTAACCATTTACAACTCAGACTTACCAATTACTGCTGTTGAACCAAAGTATAAATATATACCAGAATCACTTGAAAATCTGAGTCACATTTGAAGCATTTAGTTTTTAAATGTCCACGGGTTCAACTGACTGAAAGGAAAGACACATCCTTTTACAGATTTACAATGTGACCCAGAACTACTGTACTGGCAAATTGAGTTTGTGATAAACTAAAAGGGGAAGTCAAGAACTTGTTGAACGTTGATTTGCTCGAACTGATAATGCTAGCTGTAAGCTGAGTTGCTAAAAAAAAATAAAAATAAATGCAGTATCAACAGCTGCCACTTATAAAGTTTAACTGCTTAGGCAAATTTGTTAAAAGCTTGATCAAACCTGAATTAAACAACATTCCCAACATGCTGTTAAATGCAATTGTTTACCCTGCAACTGACTGTAGTTTTTAAGTGTTATGTTTTTCCTTTCAATTTATTGCCACATACATCAGACTAAAACTTGAAGTGCAAAAAAGAACAAAACCTATTTCTTATCCCTATTTTGAAAAAAATAATTTTGAAGTGTTATCTGAATCTGCTTTTATGTGAAATTCATAGCCATTTTATGTTGTTTTACACACACATCACTTTATAATGTAGCCTAAACAGAAAAATCATTAACGATAAAAATCGATATTAGTTGTGTTTCAAAGTATTCCCCCAACCATCTTTTTGCCCCATTCAAAAAACCTTAAACTCCGTCAAGAATTTATCATCAAGAACAGATTTCCCAGTGACCAGCTAAAACTGTATTCAAACAGACTGTTAAAACAAGTGGCAAGCAAATGCAGACCTTTACAACTACAGTTATGTAACTCCTTCAAACAGAATCATACATTAGAGGTGTACACTGAAGTGGCCCTAATGAAAACCAGAATACAAACTAACTGCTATGAACAACATGTATGCTGTCAAGAGCTAAATATTATTCAACCAGGAATTATTCCCCACCTCTCCATAAAAAAAATAAAAATAAAAATAATTCCAGTATCTATGAACTTTTGACCCTAAATTCTACGGAAAACCTGGAAGAAAAGTAAGAAGCTGATAAAGTCTCTCTCTTCATGACAGAGTGAAAAAAAGACTAAACTAAAAATACACAACATGAATACAGAAATAGGGGCTTCAGTGCCCTTAATTTTAACATCTTTTAGTCTTTACTCCTTCAATTTATTTTCCTCCCTGCTAATTTATATTCTCTGGAGCTTATGCTCCAGAAATACTCCCAAATTTTTCTTTTGTATTAACAGCAGTAACAAGCTTATTTCTACAAAGTTGTTACAAACTAGCACTGAAATTCTGTACTGTTGTCTAAGGCACAGAATTCACATATCCAAAAAACTTATTTTTTTTTTTTTTAAACTCCAAGAACCAGTGTAACCAAAAGATGCTACTTCTCCCTACTAAGATTTGAATCCTTCCTTTAATCCTAAAGAGGATTACTCATCTCCTACAGACTGAATATTGATTTATTCCTCCTGGGCTCTGATATTCAAGTGAGAGATATAATAAAACAACACTGCAGGCAAACTGTTATATGCTGTCTTTAATACTGCAGTGCTCAGAAGTTTAGTGATGAACTAGTTGAAAATCCTAAAGCATTCAGCTACTCATGATAAAAATAAGGCATTAGCCTGCAAACTGACTATAAAGATACTGTTTTGAGAAGAAAAACACTTATAACCAAGAATAGGATAAACAAAAATAAATCATACCGTAAAATGCAATTTATTGGAAAACCAACTTCCAGACCACGTATACTTCGTAAGTCTATTGAAAAACAAAAATGGTGAGAGGCCGCTGGAATGACAATTTTCTGTGCTGACACAGGCTCAGAAGAACTGGATGCACCCACTGGGTTGGACTGAGATGCAGCTACTGGTGCAGCATCAGCTGAAAACACAGACGAGAATGTGCATATTACTTGGGGTGTAACAAATTATTAAAGACTATTAAACACATCTCATTTTGTATGCAAGTACAAATAGGTTACTTCCAGAAACATTTCAATTCCTTGTAATATAAACCAATACTAAAATAACATTGAAAAGTAGCCACGCTAAATTATTGCTTCTAAATAAATATACTTTAAATCTTCTTGAAGAAATAAAAATAGTTTAAAACTTAGAAGTTCTGTAATATATTTTACTCCAAGAAGTTCTGTAATATATTTTACTCAAAGAAACTAAAAAACTATTATCGATCATACTGCATTATTCTGCAGAACTGAATAAGGCTTCAGTTTCAATAGTATGCTTAACTGTTCCTTGCCAAATTAAGGGCACACAGAAGAGGCAGGCTTATAAAAAAAAAAAATAGTAATTTAGCTTTCTTCAAATTAACTAAACAATTTAGTTTGGAACTGAAAGGGACAGAGCACCTGGTCAACCATAGAACTTGTGTAAGAAAGCATCAACTACTGCTCCCAGGCTAAGGGTTAATTTGAAATAAAAACTGAACTGCTCTAAGTCTGCAAAGCACATCTGCTCATGCATGGACTTTGACAGGATTGCTCCTGTTATACCCATTTTATAATTTGTGCAACAGAAGCCATGCTGTAAGTGGCCTGTTCAATTGTATCAAGTCAGTCACAGAAGTAATGTAGATTTTTCATGTACTTAAACTGGGGTCTTAGCCTCCCCACTACCTGTTTCAAAAAGCAAGATGTCAAACTACAAGTTTTAAAGACATGTCTCCAGAATGCAACTCCCAGAAACATGTAAGACTAAAGAGAAAAAGGCAAGAACGGACAGAGGAGAGCTTCTGCCTTTTACTGCTAGTTGTTCTGATCTAAGATATTTCCACTGTTGTGGAAAAAATATATCACTACTAGCATTGACTGTTTTCCTGATGTTTTATGAAGTCTTTTGTTTACATTATCAACACAAAAAAAGAAAGTTTCATTACTTCAGTATCAGATAATCGGCATAGTGTAGTAATGAAATTAATATTTTCAGTCATTTAGGTAAGAGTTTGTCACTATTTTGCTTTATGCAATTAAATGGATGAGTAGAGCTTTAAGGCTCTCACAGAGAACATAAAATTGCATATAGTTTTCAGTTAAAATTCATTTAAGTTGCTGCTACACTTAGATTCCATTCAACATACTAACTGATTTTGATAAGTTATTTTGCATTACTGGAATTTTGCAGATCTGACAATAGTGGTGATTTTGTTCTGCTCTGCAATGTGATAACTGGCATCTCTTCGGTGTACTCTGTGTTAACCTCTTTGCAAGACTCAGTCACCAACCCTGAAAGATAATTGTAAAATGACAATTCATTTTGCCAAAAGCATAAGCAGTAGCAAAGTTACTATGAGTAAAAAGCATAATTGGGATTTTCTCCCCAAAACTGGTTGCTGGGCTTATAGAAAGTATCAAAACTTTATATATAAGATAATCCATGTTTAGATAAGAACTGTTAGAATTAAAAGAAACTTGTCTGAAATAGTGGATAAATCCTGAGAACAAGTTCTAGGGCACAGATTTTCCTCTGCAGACCTGGACCTCTTTAGGACTAACATCAAAACAACAGTGATACAAATGCTATTAGAAAATAACTATTAGGCTTTATTTGTATACAATTTCTTAAGACTATGCATACCCAGTAAAATTTAGCAAACAAGGATTATTTTGAGTATTATGCTTTCATTATGGTATTTCTTCCCCTCCTGTCTCTGCTTCTCAATTTCTCCCCCAGCCAGTCTACAAGCTAAGTAAAACAGGGCAAAGCATGTATGTAACAATAAAGTTTTTTCACCGTTTATTTCATGTAACCTGTGTTTGGGAGGACAGACATTTTTGCAACGAGAGCCCACCCCCCCCTTCCTTTTTCCATCTTTTATTGCTGAGTGTGACATCATGTGGCATGGTATATATAAACCAACCCTTTGGTTGGTTTAGGTCAGCTGCCCTGGTGATGTTTCTTTTCTCATTTTTTTTGCCCACTCCCTACGAGGGTTAGAGAGAGTCCTGATGCTGTACCAGCACTGCTCAGCAGCAGACACAACACTGATGTGATACCCACTGTTGTTCTAGCTACAAGTGCAGAGCACAGCATTGTATGGGCTGCTGCAGGGAGAGATAACATCCCAGCCAGACCCAGTACAATGCATTTCTTTAGAATTTGAGCTTCCCTTAAAAATCCTACATTTCCCCTACTGTTTTATGTAATATACTTGAACCTTACACCACTGCTACTCTTCCCTGAAGAAATCAGTTTCTTCATGGGTTTGTACTGAAACTTGCATTTTCAAATTCAGGTAATTTCAAGTGTATCTGGAATTACTTTTCAAGCTGAAGATCATCCGTATCACTTGTAATCCACACATCAAATCTCCAGTTCAGATCTTCCATGTGCTTTCAACAACTACCATGTTCAAATTACATTTACTTTCATCCTATCACTTATTCTACATACATAAGTCTTACTTGCTTAGGAATTATGACAACGAATGAGCAGTACATAATTCAAGAATGACTGCACTTAGCAAGTAGGGAGAAAAAAATCATATCACATACTTGTTTTTTTCAGGTTTGTGCCTTTTTCAAACTTAAGACTTTCCACTTCACTTTCTGTTGCTTCATCTTCTGTTGGGGAAGAGTGGTCATTTTGAGATGGGACATCCTTGGATGTCTGCTGCAGGCCCTCTGTTTTTCCACTAACAGGTGAAAGAACTTTCTTCTGTGGCTGTTTAGGTTCATTTGGAGCATTTAGGGGAATCAAAGGCTGTAGAGGCTGAAGAGATATGGTTCTCATTTATTATTGCTCCATGGAAATACTCTGTTTTTAACATTTAACTTTGAGATTATTTTTACGACCGAGAAGTTAAACAATGAAAAAGATTACTCATAAAAGCAAGTTTTTTTCAAATGAGTACTTAACTGACTTAGAAATAACTTCAGACATGAAACTGCAACAATAACTAAATCAAAAATAATGAATAGCCTATACCTGTACGTTTAAGGTCTCCTTTTGCAGAACTACAGATACACCCACAGTAGGAGCCATATCCAAGGGCAACTGTGGCATCTTTTGTTTAGCTCTATTTGGTGGAACAAGGACAAATGCTCCTTCTATTGTCACAGGGTGCTGATCAATTTCCGTGCTTCCCTTCTTCAGTAGTCCAGACAGGGGTATTTCAGTGCTTCCAAGAGACTGGTCACCACAGCAAAGATGGATCTGTATGACATACAGAAGTACCAGAATGTAACTGGCATATGCATTTCCACCAGAACTGTCTGTCAAAGCTCTGCTAGAGGCAGCAAATACAACAAAAATATCTTCATCCCTCGTCTAGTCCCTATATGCTGACAACAAATATTTTGAGGAGTATATTTCAATGCAAAGCAGGTAGGATTTGCCAAGTACTAGCACAGCATCAGATCATTGCTGGCTGCCCTCTGATGACCTGTCATGTCATCCATTCTGGATGACAAATTTAGTAGCTTGTGCTTTTTAAATACACTACAAACTCTTGCTCTTAATGTGAAATGCACAACCATGATGTACAGAACAAATAAAGCAAGTTCTCTGAAAGCTCTGTCTTTACACATATATTTAGACTCCACTTAAATGGCAAGGATATTTGGAATTAAGTCACCACATTCTTAATTCTTTATCAGGATCATTATTCCTTTCTCAAACCTTGTCTCAACTCTTTCGTCCTTCCGCAGAATAATATTTGCCCATCTAAGTAAAGGAAGGATCTTAAAATTTTAGAAGTCACTCAGTGAAAGTTAATTATTGAAACTTACACACTTTTTTAAAAAAGCAAACCACAGCATTGTATTCTGATCCTTAACATTTAACATACCTTTTTTTCCAGAAAATGAATACATTAATGCCAAGAGGTGTAAAACTATGTGTATATACATATGTATATTACTATATTAAGGATCAGACTACAGTGTGTACATATATTAAATACTTTGTTTCAAGGCAATAGGCTAGGGTAAATTCCCAAACACATCAGTACCCATGTTCCTCCAAGCATTAGAAGAATATTTCAAGTTAACAAAAAAAAAATTAAAAGTTCCTGTAACATTTTTAAACTAACCTAGATAACAAAACTAAAGTTGTGTATACAAGTTCAAATCCTATAATCCGGTACAGGCAAGGAAGAAGAAAAAGACAACTTTAGAGGGCCCATACTCAGAATTACATTCTATAACTGTCTTATTTACCAGCTGTGTTTAGAAACCCTGTACTATCCTCAGCAAAGTTGTCTAATTTTGTGATCACTTAAGTGTAAGCCAAAGCAGATCACCATAAACACTGTCTGTCATATTACATAACATTCAAAGTTAAAGCAACAAGTTGTTGCTATAGATAAGCCACATCCACTAACAGCCCAAATATTGCTGTAGCGTATGTAAAACAGCATTTGGCTGAGAACTGGTGGAAAGCCAGACCTCTTATTATTCACAAGCCCTGTTGATGGCATGGATTATAGAACTTATTCAAGAGTTCACTCCGTGGCTGGCATGGATGAGGTTCTAACAGGCAGCACTAATCAGGGCTGTGGGATTGAGGTGATCTGATTTCCAAGGAGGCTTCAGAGCACTCAAGAATGTCCTGTTTCATTCATTCTACCTTACATCATGATGTGGAATCCAGTTCACTACATACCCATCATTTAAGAAAAAAAAAAAAAAAAAAAAGAAAAGCACTTCATCTACACAGAAAACTTGCTGCTATAGCATTTCCCTCATTAGTATGAAAACCAAATTATAATACAATCTTGTTCCAGAAAAAAATATTTTCTCTTTCAACCAGAGATAGATTCTGTTTCTTTTGTTTTCATCATTTAATTTGTTTTCTATTCACATTTGAAAACTAAACACTTACCTGCAATTTTGACTGTGCACAAAGATAAACTTGAAGAACATCAGCTGTACTACGTATTCGAACTGAAGCTCTTTCTGGCTCAAAATTTGGATTAATTAAATCAGTGAAAGTTTCGTTTGTTACGTCATTTCCCAGTAACGAGTAGTAGAAAAAAAACTCAGGCTGTCGTTCAGGAAGCTTCATAGTACTAGGAACTAACTAAGAGAGAAACAAAAAAGAAGGCATCTTTCATTACTGTACAGCTACAGCAAACTTCAGGCACTACCTTGGAAACTTAAGGGCTTATCATGATCTCACACTTCTGAGCAGCTATCCTGAACCTCAGTTTACAGTTCCAACAAAATTAAAAAGAAAGTTTTTGTGTTAACATTCAAATAGAATTCAAAAACAGTTACCAAGGACACCAGAAACTTTCAAAATGATCCCTTTCAAGCTACTAGCAACATATACCAGAACCAAGGGCTGTAAATGATACAATATAATCAATAATGGCAAGCCCGGTACAAATATTCAAGAATAACAGCACCTCCACGAAGTATTTATAGCATAAATAAATTCCGTATCTAATATGCATTGTTATAGCATAACTTACGTGACTGAATAAAACATTGGAACATTCAAAAACAGAGCTTCTCCCTCCTTTAGACATTGCAACCGTTGAGTTCAAATGGCACAAACTGCTCTGGAGTGATCAGTGAATTTATTTCACACACCCCTGTAATTCTGGCATTTAAAGTTACATTATTTTCTCTGAAGCGGATAAGACCAAGCAAAGTTTGTCATGTACTTTGAGCTATCAATAACTCCAGACCATTATGAAAGTCACAACTTCCAGCCATCATAACTTGGGCAAGCCTGTACTTTGAAATCAGACAATGCAGAGAAACCTGAAGAGTGTATCAGTGTTGTGGTACAGCACAGCTTGGACACAGCAGCTGTCTAAAGCTGAATTAATCACATTAGCCTGACACTTTATCCAAGTTGTTAAGTCCTTCCCTTAAGCAACATATAAACTCTACCACTTCATACGGACTGAATTTAAAAGGTATTTAATCTTTCCAGAACTTTTGCATATGGCCAATACATTCTATCAAATACTAAGATTTATCAGCTTTCAGATAGGCTTTTACTTTGAGTTCAGTTTTTAACAGCTGTACAAGTAGAAAATTAAGCCTACCATACAACTAGCCTGGAAGAAACAGTCACTATATTTAGCTGCTGTCCTCTGGACTTTCTCTGAAAAATAGCAAAGTATACAATATGCCTGAGAGCTTCCCCAAAGCACACTATTTCTGTCTGAGTCAACCAAATCCTTTTGACAAAATAGCAGGGGCTTGAATCGTTTAACATGCAGGGTGACCAGGAACCTGAAACCCTGTATTGTTGCACTCTTCAAAGAATATATGTCAAACAGAAAACTGAAGCCAATTCCTAAGTTCAAGATCACCTTTGGTTCTAATTTTAGGCAAACTTTTCAAGAGCCAGTCTGGTAAGGTTTGAAGTTGGCCCCTTTCCTTTAGGGAAAGCAGCTCTGATGGTGAAGTTTAATATTCCAACATACTTGCTATATTGACATTTTTACATTTTTGTAGAATAGTTCATAAGGTAAATCTGCTGTGGTCCATACACATTTTTTTAATGTTACAGTATAAATTATGCACTTTAATGTAATGCATAATTTAAAATTACAGTTTTAATGCCTCCCCCCCAATTCTGATCTTTCATCTCTAATTTGACATATAAATACTACATAAATGTTTCAAAATTCAATTTTTTATTAATTCAATATTGGGACAAGGCTATTTATTACAAGCAACAAGATAAAGTTGTATCTTCAAATATCCTAGAAATTAGAAACAGAAATAAGGCATAGGAAGGCAAAAATACAGGCGTATTTCTATAGTACTTCTTTAAAACTAAACTGGCCATGAAACAAACCTGTTCCAACTGTGTGGCAAATGCAATGGTTACAGACAAAACAAAGTAGTCTCTGCAACACTCTGCTGGTCCAATCTGATGATAGCCCTCTTCTTCAATCAGGACCGGTACAATACTTTTAGGGTCTAGTCCAGAAAGAAAGGCAGACACTAACAGGGAAGAAAAAAATTAGTACCTTAGGATGTTACACAAGATTCCTTCAGCAATTGATAATCATAATTTTACCTTTACTTACCTGTAATTTCTCTTACCACACATGTAATGAAGATCTTTTGATTGTTTTCAAAGCATTTCATCAAAGCAAAAGTTTAAGTATACTTCACAATAGCTACTTTTTTTTAGATAATTTCTATTCAGTGGACACATTGTTTTGCACGCTACTATAAAGAATGTTAGTTTAATTGTTACAATGACGAGAAATTAATTTCATAGGCTGAATCCATCACACTCTTTCTTCTTTGACTTGTCAAAAGAAATGCAAGACAGTAATTGCATACGACAGACTAACTGTTGACACAAGCATGATGTTTCACTCCACTGAGCTTTTGAATATCTCATTTGAAGACTTAGATGAAGTCTTCAGCGTATAAAATAGTGGAGACTTGCATTATAGGTTTTTATAATACTCTAGAAAATAGAGGAAAATGGTCACAACAGGACTCAGATACAGGTGAATGGGATTACAGGGTGCCAGCTCCATGGTCACTGTTTCTAATGAGCTAGCCTCCAGCAACATAGAGGTATTTAAAGTAAAGCCAGTTAAAAAGAGCTGTAGTTAACTTATTTTAGTGTGAGTTAAAATCATGCCACTTTACATACACCATGGACTACAAGCTGACTGGTGAAGTCACTGAACAACAAAAAGCAGCATTGATTTTCTCACCTGTATTTCTTTATCAGAAGGAAAAAATAAAAACTGAACAAATATGCAATATGAAAAACACCATCTACTGCCTATGGATCACTGCTTTCCACCTGCAATTGCAAGATCCTGACAGCCCATATGCTTTCAACTTCTAAAAATGAACTCTAAAGTGAAACAAGTGAAATCTGAACTCTTGGTCAGACTTCAGAACCACCGACTATTAAACAGCTGAGACTGAAAAGACACTTCACTTAGTGTAACAGCCAGTTCAATTCCTGGGACAGGCAGAATTTCTAACATCTGCTGTTTGCCCCAGCCAGGTAGCCCAGTAGCCTCGATACATCTAAAATCATTAAATTCACTTATGATCCAATGTAATTTTGAAACTCATCTTCAGAGCTAAACAAACAGAAGAGCTCTTGAAAGCAAGGCAACATGGAAACCACAGTTATTTGTAGAGCTACAGTAAGACGGTATTTAACTAAATAGTTTACACATACTTTGAAACAGTAAAATGAGGCAATCAGAACTGAATTAAATAAAATAATACTTACAAAAACATGTTATACAATGTATTTTATGCACTTTTAGAAGACAGGGCATGCAGGGATTGTAGTTGTACATAATGCACACTTAAAATACCACTTAAAATACATATCTCTAGTTTCCACATCCTACATTTTTTTAAAAAAAGATACAATATAAAAATCGGGGATTTAAAAAAAAAGAATGACTACTCAAGAATAAACCCTTTCCATTCTAGTTTACCAGTTACCACTCCATAGTACCAGTAATTCAATACATTTCAAAGCACCTCAGATTACAGCAGACTAATAATCGCACAGCTCTTTTGGTGAGCCAAAAGGCACAGTTTCAGACACTGTAAACATTAGACCACTCAGGTCAGTGAAGTGAAAATCGAAGTGCATGAATCCAAAAAACAAGAACATCCCATTAGCTATCCAACAAAACTAGAACTGGGTGGTCTAGTGTTGTCATATGCAATGCTTAGAACATGAACCTTAAACCTGTGAAATTCTACATGCTTGTTTTCCTCCATTGTGTAAGTATGGCATTGACTAATTTTGAGATGGTAAAAACACAGGAGGCTTGCAAACTTGTTTGACTTCTATCTCCACAGAAAAAAAGAAGTGGAAGACAGTGCGGGGCAAAAGGAGAAAGAAATTCCTATATCGTCTACCAGTGTCATGACAGGTTAGACAGCTTGTAGATCAAAAGATCACAAAATAGGTAGTAGAGGCAAGGAACATGATCGGTTATATATGATTTGTATTATAAACTTAAGAGTATGTAAAATTCCTGGTGCTTTGTTGTGAACATGAAAGGATGAAAGCTAAGTAACTAAACTCCTTAGCTACTCCTGCAATGTGGCTGAGAAGACAAAGTCAGAGCCAGAAATCTTGGAAAAACACTGCAACTGAATATTTTGTTTTTACAAAACCACAGATGTAGATGATGATGATAAGCAAGTTACTAATGCAGAATTGCAAAAAAGTTACCTTCAGGGCAGGAACACAATGTATCAGAACGAACGCAGGAGAAAATACACCAGTCTAACGAACACTCAGTTTTTAAGTGGAATAGATTTTTGGGTGGGGGAAGGTAAATACATGCTTTTTTGTTTTAAACACAAACTTTTAAGGGGATTTAAAGAAAATAAACAACTCAAAAAATTCCCAGACACAAGACTTACTGATCAGCACAGCACAAATGAAGACACTGGCTACTGTATTATTGTTAAGTAATACTCAAGTTCTAACAGACTTGACACATTTCACTAATTATTTTTTGAAAGAAAAGTACAAAGGAATCAGAACCAGAATTAGTCCCAACAGTTAACTTAGTGTAGATGCTATAAATATTTCTTGTAAATGAACACAATGTGAGTGGCTCAACTTGACAAAAAAAAAAAAAAAAAAAACAGAAAAGAAAAGCAGTCTACCCAACAAACAGTACAGTACCCTACTGTAGGACTTGCAATTTCAAGTCCAAACTGCTGAAACTGCTTTCTGTAAAGCTTTCTTATTTCTATGTTTACAGAACTTTCTAAAGCCCTGAAATCTAACCAGAGTGAAATGCCATTAGTACCAAGTCCCTGATCCTGATTTGAAAGACCAGTAAGTTTGCATCTCAGTCCACCTGAAATCACACTATTACCAAAGTAAGAAATCCTATGAAGTTATTATCACAAGGCATGTTTTCTGTATGTATCATTTAGTGTTAGTTAATGCTACAATATAAAAAAATTCTCTTCAGGCTCAAACAACATGTCTGCAACAAGCGATATGTTGATCTGTGTCACGGGAACACCTCTAATTCAAAGCCAATAACAGCATGTTACTTACCTCTCCCTTCTCTAGGGGGTGCTTCCTTTGCTTTAAAACCATCCACCAATGCTTTTGTATCAGTTTCCAACACCACACCTACTTGTATTTCGGATTTAAATTTAGTGTACTTGTTACTAAGCAGAGGGTACCATTTTGGTGTCTGCATAAACAAAAACAAAGGCATTTTAAAAGCAGAAGGATAATTAAAATACGGTTACAGAGAGCAGATGTGCTCTAGCATTTCTACCTTGTCACTTACAGAAATGTACCTTGGCATTCGTTTCTAAAATGAGTCTGTTTTGAGTACACTACTACACTAAATATGCCATAGAATGGAGAAAGAGTTGAACATTCTTTTCAACTGATCGGCACAGTAGACAAGTTAGCAAGCAAAATACACCATAAATCTTCACTTAGAAAACTTCCAAGTTTTCAGCTGCAAGGGTGCAGAATGCATTATATGAATCACAAATCCTTATGAATTGTGATTTAAAATAAGAAACCAGGGTCAGGTCATGATCCATGTCAGAATTTTTTTGATCAAGCACAACACAGAATTTTTATGAATGCTTTTTATATAGACAATATTATATGTCCCATGTCTGTCCCTCCCCATCCAACCCCCCTGCTGTGTAAGGGGCTAGAACCCCTATGACATCTTGCACAGAAACCCATTAAAAAACACAAGCACACACCAAAAGCAACTTCAGGCTCTAAAGTCTTGATTTGATGGAGACTCAATTCACTTTCTCAATAATAACTTGTAAAAACTTACTGAAGTAGTTGGTAAGTGATAGCAATGCTTAAATACGTTGCTTAGAAGTGTTTAAATTCTCAAATTCAGAAGTGCACAATTTTTTTTAAATATACATACTTAGCTTTCTCATATTGTAGATCATTCTATTAAGATTAGTACAAAATTGCTTTTGTTTGCCCATGTTCTTACACAGTCACTTTATTTTTAAAGAGATCTTAAGTAGGACTCATACTCCTTCAAAACAAGACTCAGAAGTTATGTCTTTGCCTCAATTCAGATTCTACTTTATCTGTAGCAGCACTGTTGTGAAAACATCAATTGGTAAAGTCTTTATACCTGTTTCTTTTCCTGCACAGCCCTTAAATCAAGTACAATATAGCCTATATTCTCTTTAGCTGAAGAGACAGGATCCAATGCAAAACACTGGAGTTTGATAGGTGTACGCTGCAGCCTGTAAGAACATTTCAGTTGAAATCCAAGATGCTGAAGTTATTTCTGCAATTAGCTCACAAAAAGTATTTCACAAGTTTCAAGCATATCAACAACAATTTATTGAAATTCATAACATAGCTAGTTCCAACAGGTCAGCAACTGAGTTTTCATGCCGAATTTTTGGAAGTTCAGTGTAGCCACAGAATGAGCAAATGAATAATTTTATAAGAAGAGTTTCTTGGGAATCTCACAAAGCCTCAAATGCTATTAATAAGAACAGTCATGTTAAATAAACCCAATCTCATTGACATGCAAGAAATAAGTAATGCAACTTGCATTAAACTGCAATTACACTTGTGAGAAAAAGAATTTTGCAAAGCACCTAGAAGTTCTTAAAAATATAGATGAAGCGTCTAGCATAAAATACATTCAGCCATTGTTCGTTCTTCAAAGTTAATATAGCCTTTTGAACTTATTTGACACATTAAAGTACTACCTCAATATTTTCAGTCAAAACCAATGCAGGTATGGAGATCAAATCCAATTTCTCAGCTTTATTTGAAATCTTCAAAGAGATTTTATATAGGCTTTTCAAGCTTAAAGTTAACTTAATTCTGTGTCATAGAATACAATACATAAGGGAAGCTTGAATCCAATGCTTAAACTATAGCTTTTCTCATTTGACTTTTTTTTTTTTTTAAGTACTATAAATGGAAGCTTTAGAAGCTTTTAAACTCACTTATCTTTCACACATGACTTTAGTTTGCTGTGGAAACAAAACGGTAGATCAGCATATAGCTAAAAGAAGGCTTCTAAGAAAAAAATCAAAAAAAGCTCAAGTGAAAATAATACAAACATTGTATTTCAGTAGCTGTAAGGACAAGAAAAATAAGTTGAACTCCAGAGCAAATTTAATTTACTTCAGATTTAACTTTCCACTGTTACCTGTGCTGATGAAGTGCTTTCCTATCAAGTTCCCAAGCCAATTCAGTAGCAAATTCTGGCTGATCAGTATGCTCTACAGGATCAGTAGCCAGCTGTTCACCATCAAACTTGGCTTCAACTATAAGCATGTACTTTGGTCGTTTTGGAAAATAGCGCCCTGCAACAGAGTGTAATAGCAAGACATCATAATTTAAAAAAAAAAAATTGAGAGCTCATAATTTCATATTAAATGATTACATAAAAATATTTCCCATGTTTCTCATATCTTCCCTGATATACTCTAAAATTGTATTTTAAGAATGTGTTTTTACTATTTAAAAGTTTAAAACAAAGCATTTGTGAAGCACCCAGAAACACTGATATATTAAGTAACATATAATAATTAACATAATTAAGAATTATAATTCATTATAATTAATAAACCCAGCAACCAGTATGATTTAATTTTGATAAATCTATGACGAGGAAAAGATCAAGCCAACAGGTAACAAACAGGAAAGTTTAAACATTCTTCCTTCATTACAGATTTGACCACTGTCTTACATCAAAGCAGGGAACATGACCTCATGAGCATAGTGAAAGGTGTTTTTCCAGTTACTTGTGATTTCAAAAAAAAAAAAAAAATTATTGGATTAACAGAATGTTTAGGGTCATACCACGTGACAAGATGAAGGGAAATGGCCTCAAGTCGCACCAGGGGAGGTTTAGGTTAGATATTAGAAGAAATTTATTTACTGAAAGGGTTCTGCTGAACTGAAACAGGGTGCCCTGGGAAGTGGTCCAGTCACCATCCCTGAAAGTCTTCAAAAGACATGTAGATGTAGAGCTTAGGGACATCCTTCAGTGGTTCAGTAGACTCATCAGTACCAGGTTAATGATTGGACTACACAATCTTAGAGTTCTTTTACAACATGAATGATTTTACGATTTGTCCTGGATTCATCACCATCCTATATTCTGCTTAATTTCAGTGGCAAAATGAATTGTTAAGATTTGCATATGTCACCAAATGGGATGGGGCTATATGCCTTTCAGAGGACAGAATCTTAAGTTCAATTACATTGGCAAACAACATAAGTAGCCAGAGAAACAGAATCATAGAATGGTTTGGGTTGGAATAGATCTTAAAGACCTTCTGATTCCAGCCCCCTTGCCATGGCAGGGACACCTCCCACCAGCCCAGGTTGCCCAGGGCCCCATCCAGCCTGGCCTTGAGCACCTCCAGGGATGGGGCATCCACAGCTTCTCTGGGCAGGCTGTGCCAGCGCCTCACCGCCCTCTGAGGGAAGAGTTTCTTCCCACTGTCTAATCTAAGTCTCTTTTAGTTTATATCTGTCACTCCTTATCTTATTGCTACACTGCCTAATAAAAAAATAATTGTGTGAAGTAGGTCATAAAATAAGGTGGAATAATAGAGCACGTTACAAACAGCAAGCGCAGACACGCCCCCAACAACAGCAACAGCAAGCCCTCACTGGCACAGCCAGGCACAGACGCCAGTACTCACAAACTTATACGCAGACCGCTGACAGCGGATGGAGAACGCCCGCCCACCGCGAGGAAAACCCTACGGAGAGCGCCCTACGGAGAGCGCCCGCCGCCCCGCTCACCTTCCAGGATGGAGACGACGATCAGCAGCCGGTCGGCGGCCCTGGGCACCATCGCCCCGCTCCGATCGGATCCGGACCCGCTCCGCCCTCGGGGACAACGGCCGCCGCCTCACGGCCTTTTAAACGCCAACCGCCGCCTCCCGGCGCACTTCCGCCTGGCAACGGCGCGACCCGCCCGCACTTCCGGCAGCTTCTTCCCGCCCGGTGATGGCGGGGAGGGGAGAGGGGCAGCCATGGCGGCGCTGCGTGCGTCGCAGCCCTCGCGTTATAAACTTCCTGCTGTAACGCTGAGGCGTTACGGCCCTTTTCCTTGCATTCTGTGGCAGGGCAGTCTGAATAAATTCTAGCAAAACGCAATGTTGTCGCTCCTGCGTCGTTTCTAAGGTGTTGAATCTTTTATGTGAAGTAGTAATTCAGCAGTGATAACAGGAGTGTGTGCCACCAGTATCTTAACTTACACATATTACTTTTTCTTTTGACTTTATAAGGCAAAAGAAGACCATGTTAATTTTTTATTATTATTTTCACATGATAGACCATAGTAAAAACTCTGTCCTGACACAAAAACCTTCAATTTAAATACTACAAATACTCCAGAAAATACCACTGAAGCACAACTTCAATTTAAATACTACAAATATTCCATGAGTTGCAATTATAAGGAGATGGAGAACCATCTTCTTTTGGCTGCAGTTGATCCTGGTACTGAAGCACTGTTCAATGAATTTTCATAATTCCAAATAGAATGTGTGAGTTGTTTCTGTCTGGTGCTTTCTGTCATGGCACCTTCTGTTGTACAGCACTGCATTTGATACTACAGCCCTCTACCTCATGTTTGCAGTCATGGTTCTTATACTCTTTAACATTATATAAGCTTCTGAAAATTAGGTCCTAAATATTTTGGAAAAAAAATAAATAAATACACGCCTGGAGGCAGACTGCTGAAAAGTGAGTAGATTTGGCTATAGAGGGGACATGTTTACAGAAGCTGACAAAATGTACAATTTACCTGGCAGCCTCTTTCATTTGAAAATTGATTTCTCTTGGAGTGATTCCTGGAAATAACGTCATCTTCTGGTGATTTACTTGAGCTTATTCCATATCAAAGTGCTTCAGCTTGTAGTCAAAATAAACTAGTGTCAGTAAACAAAGATTTATTTATTTTTTTAAATAATGTTTGCTCTTGAAATTAAAGGCACTAGTGCTTTTTCTAGGTGAAACAGCTACTTAAGGTTTCTTTCTAATCAGGAAAAGGTGTCTCCATTTCCTCATAATGTTCAACTATGTTTCATCAGGTTTTTTTTGTTCACTTCAAGTTGTGGTCTTCCTTCACTAATTCATACTTTTCTGTATTTTGTCTCTCCAACCTTCCTAATCCTGTGAGAGACTTTTCCACTTTCATTCTTACCTTCTTTTCAGCCCAATCATAGAATCATTCTGGTTGGAAAAGACACTTAACACCATCAAGTCCAACCAATGGATGGACTTAGCACTGCCAAGTCTGCTACTAAACCATGTCCCTAAGTACCACATGTACACATCTGAATACCTCGAGGGATGGTAGCACAACCACTTCTCTTGGGAGCCTGGTCCAATGCTTCACAACCCTTTCAGAAAAAAAAATTTTCCTAATATCCAACCTAAACTTGAGGACATTTCCTTTTGTCCTATGTCTTGTTGCTTGAGAGAAAAGGCCAACCCCACCCTTCTACAACCTCCTTGGAGGCACTTGTAGAAGGCAATAAGGTTTCCCCCAAGCCTCCTCTTCTCCAGGCTAAACAACCCCAGCTCCCTCAGCTGCTCTTTATAAGACTTGTTCTCCATACCCTTTGCCAGCTTCATTGCCCATCTTTGGACATGCTACCTTGATGTCCTTCTTGTAGTGAGGGGGCCAAAACAGAACACAGCAGTAGTCTGATTATCTTCCTCTTTAAACAGTCTTTACAATCAATTTCTATCCTTTTTAATTATTTTTGTTCTAACATATACTACTTACCTGAATAAGACTGTTGTTATTTTTCTCACCACTTTTTTTTTTTTTTTTTTTTTTTTTTTTACCCCTCCCTCCTTGGTGTGGGGAAGATGGTGGTATCTAAATAATCTCGGGTCTCTGAGTTCTCTCTGTTAGCCGTTTTCTGTGATTTTGTTAAGCCCTGCTGCCCTTCTCTGAACTCTTAATTAGTCCACACCCATCTTCATTGACAGTATCTACAGCTGGATAGCCTGTATCAGGTGAGACCTTGTACAACAGAATTACTGCTTGTTTTCCTGCATACTCTGTACTTTTTTTCTTCTGAACTAGTGATGGAAAAACAATCACTTCAGCATGTTATTGTTCTTGGATTTGTTTTCTGCCTATTTAGCAAGCTGAACTGTTTCAGCAAAGGGTCAGACAAATGCCAGAGCTAACATAAAATAATAAGAGGGTGTGGCTAACTGCTACCTTATGGGTGTTTGGGATCCCACAGAGCAAAGCATGTTGGATCTCCCCTTTCAACAACAGCAAGTCATTAAATCAGGTCAGCTACCTTGTGAAACTTTATCCTTAGACACCATGCAGTAGCCTGATATGTTACAGGCATTAGTTGTGGCAGGAGCCTAATCATCATTACCCTTTTCCAGTAAAGACCTAAAAATGAATCAGTAATAAAGGGAAGGGGGGGGGGAGGGAGAGAGACATTAAACATATTTGGTCTTCTGATTCATTTGTTCACACTGTTTTGTAGAACACCAAGTCTTTTTCTTTAATCTTTACCACCAAATAATGTTTGTTTGTTTGTTTGTTTGTTTTTGTTTTTTATTGCAATTTCATAAACTTGCCTGGTTGTACTTCAAACTCATGTATTTGCCAGCCTAATACTCTTCTGCATTTTTGGCTAATCCTCCAATTCTTTCTTAGTCATTAGCCTAGCTCATTGAAGAGCTTAAGTAAACTAGAATTCTTCCTAATCTTTTTGCTTGAATGCCTTGCATATACATTTTTACAGAGTTTCTTCAGGGACTACAATCTCTCCTAAACTACTTTTCTAATAATCATATTCCCCCTTTCCCTCCCTCCCCCCTAAAAAATTTACTTATTTATCCTTTGAGTTCACTAAAATCTGCTTTCTTTAAATTTGTTGTGCCTTTTTGAAAGGAATATTTTGACACGCACGTAGGACAATCTGATAACTGTCAGATCTTCATTAATATATTGGGGTTGGAAAGGCATCTAAACAGAACAATATAGAGACAATGATTGTATTAATAAGATGTTAAATGTTACCATGCAACACACTCATTTTTAATTACTTGTGACTTTGTGTTTAATCTGTCCAAAAAAAATGCTTAAAAATATATATATATTTCAAAGAGTCAAAAAATCCTCACTAAGAACAACGAAAGTGTTTTCTTCATAAAATACCCTTTTTCAAATGCAGTCAATTTCTATCAGATTATATGAAACGTTATGTGGAAGGCAACATGTTTTTCCATTTTCTAAATTTAATTGTTTAATGCACATGAGGCAAAGTAATGCCATTATGCTTCTCCTTGAGCAATAGAATTAGAACTATAACATTTTCAAGATCCATTTGCCAATTTATAATCTGATTTTCATGAAGAAGATAGAGTCTGTCCAGTATCTTGTGCTTCATTACTATCTTCACTTATCCCACATCACTAAGGAAACAGTATAATTAAAATTAGGTAAATACAAATGATTAGATAGCTCAGGAAAGCAAATGAAGTAGTGAATGTTTGACACAATATTTCGGTTAGTATTGGTTACTGATTTTTCTTCATACAGTAAATGGTTGAATTATTGTATTAATATATTATGATCATCATTAAATGCTTTAGTCAAAATTCATTGCTTTCATCTTCTTGTTCCAGAGGTTATTTAGCTGTAATAGTTCTTCATAGTTATTAACAAATTTTCCTTGGCATGGTTGCTTTTTCAATTCCAGCCTTAGTTCCCATCGATATCATAATTTTACTTCCATATATTAAAGTTTACCTCATTTTGCAAGGTTACTTAGGTTACCTGTTTCATTCTCTCAAACATTTTAATATTTCTTTCTGTTAACATCAGAAGATTTGTACTTGTTGCCCTTCTATCTATATGCACAGCTACGAGAATTTGGTGTTCCCTGCTAAAATTACATCTTTGACCATTCTGTTTATCTGTGTGTGTTAATTATCTGCATTGCTCCCAGCATTCTAGTAAGCCAAGGATTTGAACACTACAATACGCATGTCTTAGAAGTTTGACTCTCCCATTAAGAAGAACGTATACAGAAAATGTTTGCTTGGCATTATTGTTAGTATATATTTATATCAAAAATGTGAGATGAGCTTTCAACTAAGATTAGAAGGTGATGAGACTATTAAGTGTTCTGTATCATTCCCAGGTTCGCCACACTATAGGCAACCAGTCCTTTCTCATTGAGCCTGCCTTCTGTTAGCTTGCTCAAATTAAAAAGATTGTATTTCCCATTACAGATCATTTGTGCAGCCAGTCACCACTGAGGCATGCTGTAATAGCTTCAAAGATTCCCTCTGGATGCTGCAAACAGGCTAGAATACCATTATCGTGTGGTTAGCTGAGAACAGACTGTACATATACAATTCAAAAAAGAGTGAATTATCCTTCCCACTCAGGCATCTTGTTTCACGGTAGCTGAGTCCTGAAGATCCTTCTGCTTGGAAGTTTGTATTGTTTTATTCACTATTTATGTTGGAGGGTGGAGGGGGTTCTACAAATAACATTTATCTATCCAAAAAAAAAATAAAAAAAATAAATGTACTTTTAAATTGATATTGTTTTCAGCTTAAAAATGCATCATATTTGTTTCTGAATGAATAACCTCAGGGTAGTTAGTAACTGACTCAAAATCTTTAATTTAGTTCCTATTTGACCTGTTTTGCGTTTCTTTCAAAGTTTGCATATCATTTCACCAAAATAATTCATGTGTTCATGCACAGAGTATAGTACACGCTCTTGTCCATTCATAGTAGGAATGGAAAAATTGTAAGAGTAATGTGTGTTTTAAAAGGATGACTTAAATTACTCTTCTTGTGGTTGATTGTGTATGCGTGTGGGAAGTATACCTGATTGTCTTGTCACTTGATCTCCTGTTTTTTGGCTACTCACTGCTTTCCTGGTAAGT